CCTCGCTCAGCCAGTGAGCGGGAACCGGTCTGTATGTGGGATCCGAACCCTCGGGCGGGAGCGCCGCCGCGCTTCCCAAGCAGCGCACTATCCAGTGCGCCACCAGGCTGGCCCCATCATATGTGTACTTTTTAAATATGGAGTCATACTGTTTGTAACCTTTTTTTACTTTATATTATGAACATTTTCCATATCCTAAATATAATTCTTCAGCATCATTTTTACTGTTCACATAATATTAAATTGTGTGATTATGCCAATATTTATTTAAGCAATCCTCTGTTGCTTGACACTTGCATTTTTAGTGATTATAAGCCACACTGCAATGAACATTTGTCTATTACTTTATTTTTGCACACATCTTTAATTAGTCCCTAGGATAAATTCCTATAAGAGAAATACTTGGGTTCAAAAGATTTGATGTTTTTGAGATTTTTTAATACATATCTTTGTAGCCTTATGTAAATGATTTCATTTCTATGCATTTTCTCATCAAGAAATTCTAGAAAGGAAAAATAAGGACCAAAAATGAGATTCTGTTATATCTATTTTGTAACTGAATTTTGGACTGTGCGATGCTCCCCTAAAAGTCTGTTCTTATCTTTTAGTCAAGACACTTGACAGCTTTTCCATGACAGCCAGTTGGCATCAGTCACCGTTAACCACTTTTCTCATGCATTCTATTTTTCTTATTTCTGAAACACTGTCTCTTAAACCAAACACCAACTTCTACCTCTGTACTGATTCCCCATACGTCTTCTGGGATTTACTGGCAAATCTGTCAATTCCAAATACTTTTCACAATTTGTCAACCTCAGCATCTATTCCTACTTCATGCAGAAATTCTTTGTTAGTCCCTGTTTTTGTGTATGTGTATCTATCTGTCTAACTCTCACTTTCAGACATACTCCAATACCCTGCCCATTCCATCTTCATTTCCTCTGCATGATTTCAAGGCTTCAAGGAAATTAAACTTGTTCCTATCACACAAAGGTTGGGGATTCCTATGTTAAACAATGTTGTTGTAAATTGGGAATAAAGATTAGCACAAAGAAGAAAATAAAAATCATATGTCATCCCTCAATCCAGAGATAACCATTCTTAATTTTTTATTTTTTTAAAGTTTCTTGTTCTCTGCTTAGACACAAAATCTACTAATATATGCTTATGTGATAAGTTACATTTGGTTTTTAGGATTTTCACTTGTCCAGACTTACTTATTTTGGTAATAATTTGGAGGCTCCAGGATCGAAATGCATCACTGAGGTTCAGACTTATAAAGAAGGGCAACAGACGCATCCCAAATGTCTGTTAAAAGGAGCCTTAAAAATTTTTTTTATTATTCTACAAATTTGTATTTAATTTGTCTTCCAACTGATTAAGTGATTTTCAGGAAGGCTTATTTCAGGAATAAATAAGAAACAGGCCTGATCAGCTTAAGATTCTTAGAAGGGTACAGCAGGTGCATAACTCTTCAGCAGATTGCAGGATATCCTACCAAGGGTTAGTTAGTGTTTCTGTGGGCTGTAAAAGAGATTTGCTAGCCAGAAACAACATGTACTATTTTCCTTGTCAGCTTGGGATCAGGGAGCTAATCTTTAATCCTGCATTGCAGTCAACCAAGGGATAGCCCATGTAACAGATGTGTCCCCACATTTGGTATTTATAAGGAATTTTCACTGGGTTTTAAAAAATTTTAATGATGTACCTATCTGCCTGTTAGTATGTTGATAGTGAAGCCCAAGTAAGGTAGTATGTATAGTTGAAATCTTTTATTGCCAAGTAGTTTCCAGTCTCAAAGCGAGTGTTGTCATAGCCATGTCTGAATAAACAATGGAGAACTTCTGCCTTAAAGTGTGTGGACATGTGGCTTGTCCTCATTCCTAGACATCGTGGTAGATATTGGAATTAAGATAGTAGTCATAATGATGAATCAAGGAGAAGTTGAAAGCTGGGGAAGAGTATCAATGGGACAGATATAAAAGCAGCAAAAAGTCTGGGACTAACCCTGGAGAGAGGATAGTCGGTTCTCTATTATTTGAGGTTAGTTATGCTGCTCATCAATTATATTGGACCGCAATTTTGTACATCCTTATTACTAACTTTCTTTTTTCTTCTATTTTCCCATTCTTGGCTCCCTACTAGATATTGAGAGGGACTTTGAGATGGTGCAGAAAAGACTAAATTCACATTAGTCAATTTTACTTCTAGAAGGGTATAATCACAATTTGTGGTAATGGGCATGCTGCCAGTATGGATCTGGCCATCACATCTTGGGCATGAGTGGTGACAGTCAGCTTTGTACCCCATGAATATTCATAACCAATAAAAAAAATTACTTCTGGTATTTAGTTCTAGTAAAAAGATTGATAGAAACATGGTTGAATTATTACTTTATTTTACACTCTGTGTTCTTGAATTGCCAGTGCTATCCCCTTTATTTTTTCAAGGATAACTAAGACTTGGCTGAACATAACTGAATAGCATAGGCATGAGCTACTGTTGGTAAAGGAGAATCTTATTCTTTATTAGAACACCCTGACCACTTGGTATCTGAGGATCAAATGTATTTGTCAGTTGTATTTTAATAATTTATTTCTCACTTCATAAAAATACTAAATAATAGGCATTCTTTCTAAAAATGTAGTAAATTACAATGTAAGCATCATAAGGCAATATGAAAATAAAGGGCTATTTAACAAATTATTTCATAATCACTAAATAGCAATATGGAAGAAATTAATTTGCATCTGCACTCACGCCATACACCAAAATAAACCCCAGATAGATGTAAAGATCAAATTTTTAAAAATCAACTATAGATAACTTTCAGAAGATAGATTAGGCAGTGAAAGAAATTACAAAGGAAATGATATACAATGATATAAAATATTTTATTTAAAAAATAATAAAATTAAAAGAAAAAGGCTTGTAAAAATATTCTTTTCATTTGTATCAAAGCAATATATAGAGAGCTTCTTTAAGTTTAAGAGAACTACAGGACCCTGATAGATAAATGGACAAAGGAATTTTGACAATTCATACAAAGCAGATATGAGTATTAAACAAATATGGAGAAAATATTCTATATATTAGCAATTAAACTAGTGCAAATTTGTAAAGCACTATTTTATACCTAATTAAATTAGAACCAAAAAATAATTGATAATGCTCACCGCTGGCAAAGTTATGGTAAAACCAACATGTTCATACATCACTACTGTCAGCAAAAAGTAGCAAAATTCTTTTGGATAACAATTTGTAATATATGTATTTCAAGAGCCAGGAAACTGTTTATACTCTTTAACCTAGAGATTGAATCTGAGGAAATAATATAAAGAAAGTTAAGAATCAAATTTAAATTAATAAAATAAAAAGATGGAAACACAAGCACAAAAAAAGGTAAGAGGGTACAATAAACAACTATTACAATTTATAATAAAAACTGTAACATGAAGAATAAATAATACATGAAAAAAGTAGAAAAAATTACACATTGCATACAACTTTTACTTAACTGTAAACATGAGTGAAAACTAGAAGGGAAGATGAAAAATGAATACAGCGTGAGATTTCAGATAAAATGTGTCTTCTGACTTTTCTAATGTTTCTGCTATTTAATCCTAAATAGAGATTGAGTAAACAGGGGTAAAACATCCAAATATTGTTCTAATTGTAGTAGTTATTAAAAATGAGAGTAACTTAGGCTTTTACAAAGTGGTTCAAAGACACATTGCCTCGTTATGTTCTTGCCCCAGAATCCAGTCATAGTATTTTATCCAGCCCCTAGAATGGTAAAAATGACACTATTTTTAGTTCTTCACTGGACCCTAATGAGGAAAATTCTCTTACAATACGCCATCAATATCTGTGTGCTGTGTGTGCGGCCGGAATAAGCTGTGGAGATGGAAGTGAGATTTTGTGAGCCACTTAGTACCTGTCATAGAAGCCCTAACGATGTTTAAAATAGTCAAGTCTGCAACTTGTTGCTTCCTCCCAAATCTCACTCGGTATCATTTGTTCCTCTGGAGATTTCATATTTGTGAGCTATTTGTATTTTAAAGAGATTTGCTTTTATATAGCATCTATTCCATTTCAATAGAGCAGAAACCTTGAATACTGCTCATATCAGGAGAATGGGATGGATGCCCATGCTATAAACACCCTCATTATAATTTTTTTCTGCTCTATGTAGTTATATTTTGAAGGTCAGGTTTTAGCCACTGTAATGAGAAACTACTTTTTATTAAGAATTTACAGAATTTCTTTTCTCTTAAGGTAGAGAAAATTAGAGGAGGGAAACGTAGCTCGCTTCTTGATTCTGATGAACTCTTTCTGCTCTTGCTTCATTGATGTAGTAGGTAATGAGTTGATTTGCTTTCAGGACAAGAATATCTTCAAGTTGATTTGCTTTCAGGACAAGAATATCTTCAAAGCTAACTCAACACTACTTTGTTCCATGTTCTGCAAACAGTGGCCTTTTAGTGATCGTAACCTTTAACATTGTCATCACCCTTCTCCTCACTCTGTGGGGCTCCCAGCTCTTTGATGCTCATTTCTTACCTGTGATGATGCCCTGGTAAGAAAGGGGACCAGGAGAAGGATCAATGGATTACATTATTTTTTTAAAGGTTCATGAGATTAAAGCTTATATTGATTGAATTTTTAAAGTGCTTTATTTAAAATAGCATTTTATTCCATGTAAAAGGGATACAGGCTTATGGTTAAAAAAAAAATTTAATACAGAAGATGATAAAAAAAAAAAAAAAGCAGTATGAATCACCAACAATGCCACCACTTAGAAATGACCCCTGTTAAATTTTTGGTGCAAAAAAATCAAACTCTAAGAGAAAAAGAAACTTGAAAATACTGCAGCTATATCAGTAAACAATCATGACTAATGACTAATGGCCCTCTCAATTACTTTATGAGAGCAAATATGATATAGTAGAGAAAGCACTGTCCCTTATCAGCCAGTTCTGGGGTTCTGGGCCCAGTTCTGCCACTTACCACCTATATGACCTTGGTTACTTAACCATTCTATGCCTAATTTTCTCTTCTTTAAATAACTGTAATAAGGCCAGACTTGTAGAGTTATTGTAAGTATTAAACATATGATATATGTAAAGCACTATGCTAGTATCTGGCATATAGTAAGTTCTCAATAAAAGATAAATACTAATATAAATATTATGCATTTAGAAGAATATCATTGAAAATTTATTAAGCAAAGATTCATTGAGCATCTGCACTAGAAATTCCAAGAGTAGTAAAACAACACCTGTAAAGCGTGATGGGGTAGGACAGTGGTGTACAGGTAGGACAGATGGGGTAGGACAGATAGGTAAATTGGCCAAACATGCAAGCTTAAGGTGAGGAGCTGGAGCTGTGGAAGTGTCAGGATAGGTTTTGTTTGGAGGATAGGCAGTATATTGGAGATCTCTGATCTGCTTGATTTCAGTGGTTAAAAATTGATACGAACCAATATGTGTGAATATCTGATCTATAGTACCAAGACCCAGAAAAGTTATGTCTTTTGGTGGGAGATACAGTATGGAGGTCATTCTGGGTGATGGTGAAATTGGTACCTTCAGAATGGCCTTGTAGAATGGTCCCTAAGCAAATTCCAAGATCTCTTCAAGCTTGTTTCTTGCTTGTGTGCCTAGATACTTGGGAAGTGCCATTTGAGGAGATCTCAGAGCTGCAGTGGCTGGGTAGTGGAGCCCAAGGAGCTGTCTTCTTGGGCAAATTCCGAGCGGAGGAGGTGGCCATCAAGAAAGTGAGAGAACAGAATGAGACGGATATCAAGCATTTGAGGAAGTTGAAGCACCCTAACATCATCGCATTCAAGTAGGTCAAGGCTTTTTTTTTTTTTTTTTTGTAAGAAATAGAGATATGTTCTTTCCCCCAATATATACACATAAGTTCTTGCTTTGAAAGACATTTCAAAAACACTCTATAGATTTAGCATTGTGCTAGGTGCTTTAGGAAGGTACCAAAAAACTGTTAAATTTGAGTCATGTCCTTAAGCATCTTATAATATTGTGGTTCATTTTGCCAGAGTATGTGCTGCTTGGAAGGGATGCCCATGGGGCAGGGAGAGAGGAAGTGGATTCCCACCAAGCAGTCAGATCTTTTGCATCAACCTCATGTATCAATGGGTTGACAGAGGTCACTTCAGGATAACCTGAACATCCAGAAATTCAGTTAAGAAAATAAAGCTAACATCTGAAGTGAGCATAGTTGGTCCCAATGCAATAGATATGTATTTTTTATTAGTTTCTATTAGCATCCCTTCTTAAACATTAAGTTGTAATAACTTGTACCTTCATAGTATAGCCTCAGGTTTTGTTAGATCCCTTTTCAAATAATGTCAAACACTCAGTTTTTTAAATCTAATGATAGCAGAGTTATTGATGATAGTAAGTTATATGTTATATTCATTTCACAAGTAGTTGTTTTCAAGACTGTGTGAATATATCCTTCTAGTCCCGACTGTTATTTTTATAATATTGTTATTTTTATAATATTTATAATATTGTAATATTTTATAATATTGAAAGGTAAATTTGTAGAAGTCACCAAACTTGGAAGTGCTGAGCTCTAAATATATGTAATCCCTTCTGCCCAAATCTTTCCCTAGAGTTCCCTCCCTTGCCAGTCTTTAAATGTTGCCCTAGACTTGAAAAAGTGAATGGCAAGTGGCTTTAGAAGAGGCAAGGTGAAAAGAAGAAAATGTAATCTCTAGATGGGATGAAAATTTAGAAACTAGAGCTTCTTGGTATACTAGATATGTATTTTTCATTCCTGAAAAACAGTCTGACCAATGAAACTACAGCTACAAGTGGAATAACTTACTAATCCCCCTTCCCTAAACTAGGAAGAACTTCTCCCAGCCCCAAGAGGGATCCTTCCTTGATAAAATTTTCGTTAGAAAGCTAAAAATGTCATGTGATAAGTCTTAATTGGAGTCACATCCCCAAAGTAAGAAATAGAGATCCTGAGTACAGGTTTTGTAGAATGGACTTAAGTGAGTACTGAGGTTGAGTTTTGTGTCCCAAGCAAGACTCCTTATGAAAAAAGAAAGACATGCGAAAGGAAGAGAAGCATTCAACTGGGAGATTAAATGACAAAGAAATGTTTAGATTCATTTCCTGTGGAAAGGACATTTATGCAGAGGACATGGGTGAGAGCTTCAGTTGCTATAGTAATACTATCATTGGTTCCTCTAGTAGGAACAGGAGAATGTGTAACCAAGATGAAATACTATGGAGACCAATTATAATCCTTCCAAAGATGATAAATTTCAGAAGACAATAGGAGAATTATTTTAGGCAGATAGACTAACAGAGACTCCCTTCTATCCTTCATTTTACTTCACTGAGACAATCATCGCTTTCAGTATGCTAGGTCCTCCTAAATGGAATGAAGGGCTAAGAACTTTTCAACTTAGATCAGTAGGACATTGGGTTTGAAACACAGAATATTCTACAGGTTAGCATGGCTTTTTGGCCTCCTGAAGCAAACTAGTCTGTGTGGCCCAGACAAGAGGGCTTTCTGGCAGGATGCTCTGGGTAACTGAAGGTAGAAATGTGTCCTGAGACAATGGAGGTTTGAGGAGCTCTGTTTTTCCTTACCTTCTTTTTGCTTCTTCCTTTCTCTACACAGATTTTATCCACCTTACCCTTCTGATCCTCCGACCTACATATGCAGTTTTCAGCATTGTTGGACAAGTATTGGCATACTAGTGTCCAACTCTTTGGGCTGGAAATAATTGAATAGTCTTTACCTCTACATGAAAACAATAGTGAGACTATGTCCATGACTCCATGGCCCATGACACCATGCTTTTGGGCCATTGTGCAGTGTTATGTTTGCAGCCATCCATGCCATGTGTTGCTTCACCAATGAATCACATTCAAGACCATTTGGAAGATAGGAGGGCATGATTAGATTTCAGTACATCTCTCTGGATTCAGATTTCTGTGCTTACAACTTCTTTTGAAGTTAGTAAGAATCATGTACAGAAAGGGAAGTGTAAGATAAGAATTTTCCTTTTTTTTTTTTTTTTTTTAGTAATCTTTTAAGAAAACCCAACCTGACTGTTCCTAATGGAATTCAGTGCCAGGGGAAGAAAAGGTAGCAATTAGAAGTAATTACAGAGATGTTATTCATAGCTACTAAGAAGCCTTGTCACAGTACAGGGCTGAAGGAATGATTGCTTCTCATTCGTCAGTCAAGAGAGATGGAAAGTGCATAACATATCACTGTTAGGCCCTTTTTGTCTGTTTGTGTGACAAGCTAAAACATAATTGAATAGGATGCTGAGTACCTTCAAACAAATATTTATCTTGATATTCTTAAGCACATCACATTATTCCTGCCCTGTTTCATTATTTTCAGTGGTGATAATTAAATTATCTGTTTGTAGTTGCTGTGCCCTTGTCCTCCATTGAACTTTCCTCAAAGTCAAATAACAGAAACCTGAAAAAATTTTTTCGTTAAAGATCCAGATGAGAATTTGGATAGACTGGAAAATGATAGGAGAGCAATAAAAATAACTGTGTGGCATTTGATAGGCACATGAAGGCGAGGAAAATGAAGACTAATTATACTTCTACATAACCTGCTATTGTTATAAGATCTCCACATGATCGGTGCCTCAAGCCATGGCCTCTAAATTCTTTCATCACTTATAGCAGCTTAAGACATAAGACATGAAATGGTAGCTAGCTGAAGACTTTAACTGAATGTCTCGTAGATACAGTATTCTGTTAACTTCTCTAGAAAGTTTCAAAGAAAGGCATACATACCCTTCAAAGATGGGACACAGAGAACTGCATATGGTAATTTTTCTTCTCTCATCCTGAGAACAAAAACGAAGAAGAGTTTATATGATTATTCCCACTTTTATGAGATAATGTTATTAACATAGGAATTCCCAGTATGCTTCTCTGTACAGAAGTTAAAAAGCTAAAAGGGAGGCAGTGTAGAATAGTGAGTGGAAAGAGCATGGCTTTGAAGTTAGGTGAATTGACTTCCAGCCCTGTCGCTTATCAGTTGTATGATCACAGCTGTGATTAGGACAAGCCATTTTCTCACCCTAAGCCTTACCTGTAAAAATGGAAAAGGTGATATCTATCTTATGATGGTTTGGGGCAGATTAAATAAGACAAACAAATATGTAGAAATGCCTGACAAGTAGAAGATGTTGTTTCATGTTACTAACCTTCCTCTTACTCCATGCCTCTGCACATGTTATTGTTAGAGAAAGTTGAGGTAAAGTTAAGAAACATTTGTCAAGGACTTGCTATGAACGTCTAGGTCATGTGGTAGAGAGAAAAGAACTCGAAGACCTTTCCCTTCAAGTAGCCTATAATCTCCCCTATATGGGGAGAGAAAAGTTGTCTATAAAAAAACTAATGGCTGCTATGTATCGTGGGGACTTAGAGAAGAGAAAGGTCTTTTTGCACTGGAATAATCAGGAAAGGCTTCATGGAACATGTAGAAAATGATGGAAATATAGGCTGCATAAATTTATAACATGTTGTATAATATTACTTTTATTCTAAACAGAAATGTCTTTCAAAGAACTATAAGAGATTGAAAATTTGACTAATTTAAAAATTCAACAAATAATAATAAAATAGCAATATTTTATTTGAATTCTCTTTCTGTATACTACATATAAAACTCTCTATTTGGGCCGAGCCCGTGGCGCACTCGGGTGAGTGCAGTGCTGGGAGCGCAGCGATGCTCCCGCCGCGGGTTCGGATCCTATATAGGAATGGCCGGTGCGCTCGCTGGCTGAGCGCAGTGTGGGTGACACCATACCAAGGGTTGCGATCCCCTTACCGGTCACAAAAAAAAAAAAAAAAAAAAAAAAAAAAAAAAAAAAACCTCTATTTAAGTATAAAGGGAGATATTTTAAATTATTCTTAACAATCTAAAACAATAAGGTATCCAGCCTACACAAACCGCAGGAAAGGGTGCTCTTTGTTTCAGAATGTGATGGTTCCACAGAAAAAGCACCAGACACAGCATAGCGTATAGATGCAAGTGAACAAATCACACAAAAATTGTCTATTGCATAATAGAGAAACCTGTAAACTAGAGGGATTTAATGCTCATTTAAGAACCAGGAACTATTATTTATTTGCATTTAAAAATGATTTGGATAGAGAATTGGTCTTTATTAAATTTGTTAAATACTCAAAATATAAGTATGTATACATGTATGCTTGTATGTATGTATGTATTTATGTACATGTTTGTGTTTTCTTGGAAGGGGTGTTTGTACCCAGGCCCCATGTTATTGTATCATCATGGAATACTGTGCCCATGGGCAACTCTACGAGGTCTTGCGAGCTGGCAGGAAGATCACACCTCGATTGCTAGTAGACTGGTCCACAGGAATTGCAAGTGGAATGAATTATTTGCACCTCCATAAAATTATTCACCGTGATCTCAAATCACCTAAGTGAGTTCTGGAGCTATTTTTTCCACAATTTTCTTATTTTGAAATAAGGAATTTTTATCAACCACAGGTGAATTTTTTGGACATCATACTTTTAGTTCAGTTGATATCAGCACAGTGGGTAATTCTATTTTCATATCTTTTGGATTATTGTTGACCTACTTACCAATATGGCAGATATGTCCAGGTGCCTGACACTAGTTTTCCCTTTTTGTTGCTTTTAAATTGTACAACTGTGAAACAAAATCCATTATTATCTGAAGTATTTACTTCCATCATCTCAGATAATTAATGCCAAACTTTCCTGCTTGAAGGCTTGATTTATTGTTCTACTGTATTCCAAACAAATTTTTTTTCAACTGAGTTTTAGAAATGTTTACAACACAACAGAATAAAAATGGATGAATAAGAAACAGAGGCAAAGAGAAAATAAAAACATTAGAACTAAAACTTGTTTACAAAATATATGCCATGGAGTCTGTACAGATGTGAGAGTAGACTACAAATTTGGCTTTGAGCTTTTAGAGTCTATGCAAAGGAGGTAATAAATAGTTACAAGGTTCACAGTGGCTGTTAAAAAAATGAAAACTGGTTATGTAAGAGAAGCAGAACTGTTTCTAGTAACCTGTTTTCAAAATGATTCCTTGGCTACCAATACCCACTTTAAGAGGAATTTTTATTCAGTTTCCCGACTGCATGAAGGAAAGAAAGGAACTGATAAAATGGTATATTTCACTGTAGCTCCTATTTTTAAACATTTTTATTATTTCTTATCCCATTTTGGTTTAGAGAAGCAGAAAAGGATTAATCTCTTTTCAAAAAACATATTTGTATAGTGCTTTCATGATATACAGAATTTTTAAAAATCCATTATCACGTCTTTTTTGATCCTGGCAAAAACCGTGTGGGATAGATGTGACAAGTATCATTATTCTTGTTTTATATGAGAGAAACTAGGGCTCAAGCCAAACTCTTGAGGCTAGGACTTGAACCCAGAACTTTTGAACCCAAAACTACTGCATCCTACTTTGTTAGGTGAAGGGGAAGGATTCACAATGAACCCTGCCTCTTCTGCATGGAAGACACAAATCAGTTCTTGATTATAAACTTCAAGGCAGCTATTATTTATCACCATCATTTTCAACAATGTTTATTCCAGTGATCAGTTCACTGAACAACCTCCTCCTTGATATACTTACAAATAAACATTATTACATAGCATTCATTCCTTCTGTTCATATTCTTAACGTAACCTGTTGCTTTTGCCATCTACTACATACACATAAAGAACATGAAATACTTGCTGAAGGCCTCTTTGAATAGCCTCCTTTTTAATCACCTTGTTTTCCTTGAGAATTAATTTTAGAGGGAAGGAGTCCGGAAGTCTTAGAGTGTATAAAATCACATGCTATTCTCCCCAGCTTCTGCCATTTAAAGGTTAGAATAGTTATGTCAGTTATCCAGTAAGCCTTTCCCTCTGTTAACCCCCAGCCTTGGCAGGCTCAGCCTCTCTGGGCTTCAAGCCAACATTGAGAAGACAAAGATCATTCTGGCTTGCTGTAATGAGAGATTTCATTACCTGCATTAAATCTGCTAGCTGTGTGACCCCACCTTTGTCTCAGAGAAGACTTCAGAAAGGTTCCAACATATCATCTCTAGTCTCCTCCCAAGTCCATTCCTTCATTATGCCAACAGAAAAGGAAGCTCCTAGTTTCTCTTTCTAGGGGCTCATCGCCTTTTCTGACTTTCATGGTATATGATACCATCAATTCTCCATTTATCTCCGATATCCCATAATATTTTAATCCTTATGCATTTTCACCAAGACTAACACCGTTAAATCCAAACTCCTAAACTGTGTAAATTTTATGTATCAGGTGCAAAACCAGGGGTAGGATGTGGCTGAAAGTGTTCTGAAGCAATAGCAGGCACTGAACCGTTCAGTAAATAGAGGGCGTTTGGCGTTGGGGGCGGCAAATGTGAAGTCCCTAGTTCAGATGGAGAAGGAAGGGGGGACAGATTCTGAAGTTTTCTGTTTTCTGGCCTCCTCAAATCTGATACTATTTGAGTATTAAGCTCCTATTGTTAAAAATAGGTCCCTCTATCATAAAAGCCTCTGAAACTCTAACTCATTAACGTTCTAAAGTTCTGAACAGGTTGTCTCAAGTGAATTCAGCCTAGTGTGTGAGGCTGTGAGTATGCTGGACTGGGCACCAGATTGTATTCATCTGTAAGGCTAGCAAAAGCAGTTTGTCCCCAGTTCACATTTCAGTAAAACATGACTTGAACCTACGTAAGCTTAGAATTATTTCTGCTTTTCCTCAGCACTGGAGAAATCCCAGCACACATAGTAGTCTTTTAACGTAAAATGGCATGGTCCCATTCATGATATTAATTGGCCATCATTTAAACAGTGTTTTGAAAGAAATGTTTTTCTTAGTGGGTAGGCTGAGACCAGCAAGGATGGAAACCAATATTTATTGAGCATGCATGCTTTATGTATCTTACCTCATTAATTACCTTAGACATCCAGTGAAGTCTGAAGCAGCACCCTATAATCAGCCACGTTAACATACAAGTATCTGTAGTGAAACCTATGTTATTCACACAAAATAGGAAAAATAGAGTGAGTTTGCCTTATACATATGAAAATATCTATAAACTGTTTTGATAGTTTTTTGCATTTTTAAATTGTGGATAAGATACTGTGACCTAAATTGTCTCCATCTTACAGACCACAAAACTGGGGCCGGCCCGTGGCTCACTCGGTAGAGTGCGGTGCTGATAACACCAAGGCCCCGGGTTCGGATCCCACATAGGGATGGCCGGTTCGCTCACTGGGTGAGCGTGGTGCTGACAACACCAAGTCAAGGGTTAAGATCCCCTTACCGGTCATCTTTTTTTAAAAAAAAAAAAAACTGACTTAGAAGAGTTAAGTAATTTGGCAAAGCTCACACAGTTAGCAAGTGGTGGAGGCAGGATGTTAAAAGCCCACTACCTAAAGCTACCTCACAAGTATGAATGTTGCTGTTTCTAGTGTCTAGCTAATGCCCCAGTAACATTGGAAATTGCGAGCTGAATTCCACAAGGTATGAGATAGCAAATAAAATCTTCAGTTGTCATTTAGAGTCATGGTTTTTCATTAGCACTAATGATCTGGGTGTTTTCTTTATTCCTTTTTAAAGTGTTTTAGTGACTCATACAGATGCAGTAAAAATTTCAGATTTTGGTACATCTAAGGAGCTCAGCGATAAAAGTACCAAGATGTCCTTTGCTGGCACAGTTGCATGGATGGCACCAGAGGTGATACGGAATGAACCTGTCTCTGAAAAAGTCGATATATGGTAAGTGGCACCATCTGTGCTAACTAGAAAGCCTTCTCCCACTTTCACCCTATTAGCACTTTCTCCCTTCAACACTTTACTTTCCCAGAATATTTTTTAGTGTTGCTCACTTCTGGTTGATTTGTCTCATGTTATCTCAGGTAATATCCAGTGTATATGATATATGGTAGGAAGGATTAGGAGGGGACTTATGGTGAATATTCATTCAGTAAATTGTAAGTTTTGAGGACCCTCGGAAAATATGCTAAACTTTCTGGAAAATTGAAAGTTTACTTTCAAATGACTGTTTAGTATAAACACCTTTCTGAAATGTATTACGTAATTTTCACCTTCTTGAGTAAAATACGTTAAACAAGGTTTACCTAATTCTTCATGACTCAGATCATCGTTGCACATATCCATTATATACCTTGCTGTGATACGGTTGTGTGCTCTAGGTCTATTTGAGGTGTACAAGGCTGCCTGCCCTTTTATTGAATAGCCTCCAAGGGCTATGCTTTTTAAAAAATCTTTATCAATTTTTCCTCTGAGGTTATAAGTCTTTACTCTTATCAGTATTTTTTCTTGTAACTGCTTTTTTCCTCTCTTAAAATTGGCAACTAGTAACTTTTCAACTTAAAACAAAAACAATAGTATATGTTGAAATTGCATGTAACACCAGAGTAAATAGGATAAAGTAGAAATGTGGGATGATTTGTAATTTTGGTGATTATTGCCAAAGTGTCCTCCTTAGGAATTACACCAATTTATGTTCCCACCAGAAATCTGTAAAAGTGCTTTCTCAGTCTCATCAACAAAACGTGCTGAACTTTTGATTTTCATCAGTCATATAAGTAAAAAATGGTATCTTGGGTGCAGTTTTAATTTGTATTCCTCTTATTAGTAGTAAGGTTATACATTTTTTATATGCTTAAGAGCCATTTGTAATTTTTTATTTGTGAACTATTCATATCCTTTGCTCCTTTTCAGATCTTTATTCTTATCAATTTATGAGTATTTTATATGTTAAGAAGATTAGACTTTTGTGTAGATGAGTTGCAGATACTTTTCATATTGTTATTTTGCTTATGGTGTGTTTTTTTCCCATGCCATATTTTTTTTAATGCAGTTTAATTTATCAGTCTCTTCTTTTACAGCTTCTAGATTTCATAGTTAGAAAAGCTTTCATAAAAAAAGAAAAGAAAAGAAAAGCATCACTCTAAGATTATTTTTTAAAAATTTCTCCATATTTTCTTTTAGGATCCTTATGGTTTCACTTTTCACATTTAAATCTTTGGTTCATTTAGAATTTATCTTGATGTATAGTGAGGTATAGATTTAATCTTTTTCCACAGTTGTCCCAGAAGTATTTATTGACTAATCAATTTTTTTCCCACTGATTTGTGATGTCACTTTTATCTTATACTCAATTTTTATATGTATTTGGTCAATTTCTGGATTTCTTTTTCAGTCCATTATTCTAGCTGTCTATTCATATGCCAGAGTTAATTATTGAGGCTATATAATATGTCTTAATATCTGATAGTGTTGGTTACCCTTTATTGATTTTCTTTTTCAGAGTTTTCCCGGATATTTCTGTCTTTCTTATAACATTATTAGAATTTTAAAACTGGGTATATGTATTAATTTGATTAAAAATTAATAAAGAACTAAAATACAAATCAGTCTTTCTGAAGTATCTTCTGTACATGTTTCTGGTACTACCATAGGTCTTTTGGAGTTGTGCTTTGGGAACTGCTGACAGGAGAGATCCCCTACAAAGATGTAGATTCTTCAGCCATTATTTGGGGTGTTGGAAGCAATAGCCTACACCTTCCAGTTCCTTCCACTTGCCCTGATGGATTCAAAATCCTTATGAAACAAACATGGTAAGAAATATATTTCCCCCAATATTCTTTTTTACTTTCTTCTTCAAAAGCATATATAAAACTTCTCTAAAATAGCAGGGACATCTCTAATGTGTATTTGGAGTAAATTATCTGGTGGTGGAAAGATTAGGAGCCTTGGAGTTTGAGGACTCAGATAGTAGCTCTGCTCTTTTCTCCCTGTGCAATTTGGGGCATGTCATCCAAGTACCAGTTTTCTCATCTATAAAATGGAGATAACATCTACTCATAGAGTTGTTGTGTTGCAGTTAATTAAAATTTATAAATAAAGGATCTGGTATGATGTCTTGAAATAGTAGGCTTTAGTAAATGATAGCTATTATTACTTTACCAGTCCTCATTTCATCATTAGAGGTATGTAATAATTACATTCTTTTTTCTCTTTGGTCCACCAAAACTGTACCGAGATATGGTACAGTTATATTATACTAGTATAATTAGATATAGCCAGTTTGAGATACAGCCATTTTGGAGTACAAAATCTTTTTTGTAAAGTACAATAAAATCTTCATCCTCTTGGACACAACTTCTGAAATGCACAAGCTGTATTTTTTACTTTTAGGCAGAGTAAACCTCGCAACCGACCTTCTTTTCGGCAGACACTCATGCATTTAGACATCGCATCTGCAGATGTACTTGCCACTCCACAGGAAACTTACTTCAAGTCTCAGGTAAGTTGGAATACTATCATTCACAGCAACATGGATGGACTTAGAGAAAATTATATTAAGTGAAATAAACCAGGCACAGAAAGAGAAATACTGCATATTCTCACTTATTTGTGGGAGGTAATAAAAATAAATAAGTATGCAAACAAATAAACAGGGGTGGGGGGAAAGTTGGGAAACTTTTTACCAGGTGCTACTGAAAGACAGGGAACTTTTGGTGAGAAAGTTAGAAGACCCCTTAGAAGGGGGCCATTCTGATTGTTATAATAATTATATAATTCTATTCTTTGTGAAATAATAAAAATATATACTTCATATATATGACATCTTGAGTTTTTAAAGCACTTATATATTATTACCTCATTTGGAAAGAACAAGTATCAGAATGTCATCCTTATAGTGGGTTCAGGTGAACTTGTTGAAGACAAAGAGGAAAAGAGGATATGAAAACTGTAATGCACGTATGTTTGAACTAGAATTACTGCTGACCGTCATGAAAGTATTGCTTTCCTTGATGTAGAAAAGCTGAAGTACAGAGGCAGGAAGATAAACAACAGAAATAAATAGTTCATGATGGAATTAGGCCCAGAGAGAACCTTTTCTCTAACTTTAAGTGTGTCATCTGGCAGCTCCAAATAAAATATAATTTAATGTATCTGTTAGCCTTCACTGTACTACCAGCCATCCCAAAACTTAATGGCTTAGAATGGTAAGCATGTATTTAGCTCACGATTCTGTGGGTTGGTAATTTGGGCTATGTGATTATTCTCCCGGCTTTGACTAGGCTCACTCATGCATCTGCAGAGACTGGCTGATCCTAGATGGCCTCATTCACAAGTCTGATGATTGGCTGGCTCTTAGCTGGACCACATCGGTCCTCCTCCATGTGGCTTCCTATCCTTCATCAGGCTAGCTTGGGCTTGTTCACATGGTGCTCACATGGTAACAAACGCAGCAAGAGAGCAAACCTCGATGCACAAGTGATTTTTTAAGCCTGTGTATGTGTCATGCCTGCTAATGTCCAATTGGCCAAAGCAAGTCAAAGGCCAACCCTGGTTCTAGGGACTGAGAAATGGGCTTCACCTTTTGATGAGATAATCTGCAACAGCACACTGTAAGGGCATGGATCTGGAAAGGGGAAGAATTGTAGTTACTAAATAGAAATGCTATAAATGTCATAAGGATTGGTGGTCTAACCACTATCAATATGGATAGCGAGTGGTGGGAGATGAATATATGCAAGGTCCTTATGCCTTCCAGACCCAGGCAATATCAAAAGGGATAGAACTGTGACTTTTGAAATAAATGTGATGATCCTAAAGTATAGCTTTATGCTTACAGAATTTAACTATAGTATTACCTAATTTCTTATTTCTTGGATAGCTTTGTCTCACTTAATGTTATTGTGTTTCTAAAATGAATTTTTGTTATGTGAATTGCATCTCCCCATTGACTTCCAGTATCATTTCAAAAATTTATTCTCAGAAAAGATATTACCAATTGGTATTTCAATCTACTCCTCACAGCTTCCCATCCACAATGGGTAATGAGTTTATCTAACAGGAAAGTATCTGTTGAAAAATGTACTGGACTTTGGGAGGAACGTCATCCCTGGGAGTTAAACAAGCGTTCAAATATGCTTTACTACCTGCCCCAACCAGAGGCTTGGATACTTGCTTCTTTGGTATCTGATAAACAGAGAAACACTTTGCCCATCAGACATTGAAGAATATCTTAATAAAGGCACATGGGTTTTTTTGTAGTTTCTAAGGAATGATAAATCAAAGATTCTTGCCCTGTTGCCCAAAGTGCTAACACACTATCTATAATCTGTAAACTGAGCTCTCCCCACAGCTATGTCTATAAATAGTCAGGCTTGCCCCTATAGTTTTTTTAGTGCTTCTAAGAAATTATTATATAAGTAAAGAGTTGGCTTTTAGAAAAAATAAGAGGATGTAGGAGGTTGACTTTTCTTATGTTGACAGGACATTTCCTATGTTCTTTGGTATGCATTCAGATAAATTCCCTTAGAACTATTAAAACTACTGCCTATCTACTCAAATACATGTGGATATAGGACAATGGATAAGGACTCTTTTGAATAACGTCTTCTGTTCATATTCAGAAAAAGACTTAGCCCTTTTGTGAAACAAAAGAGATTAACAGTGAGTACTCTCTAGGAAATCTTTCAAACTTTAGGATATGGTGACTGCAATCACAGCTTTGCTTCCTTTACTATAAAACTATACATACCACAGTTTTGAAAAGCAACTTTTGGTGAGGGTACTAAATCAGAAGCCACTGAGATAGTCAGTATAACTGTACAGATTTGGAAAACTTCAAATTCTAAACAAAAGTTACTTAAGTGCTCTCAGAATACCACTTCTGAAGCCAGGACAACATTTTCTGAGAACCTACCCTATGCAAAGCACTGCACTGGGTAACTAAGTACCCACAGTTGGTGTCCTCACTTGGACCAACTCACATTCATTATCAAGATACCCATAGCATGGAGCCTTAAATTTTAACCCAGAAAAGGCTTGTGGGGGTTGGGGGTGGCAAGAATAGGAAAGGAAAGGAGAAGAGAAGTGAGGGCAGGAGAGGAGGGTAGAGGAGGAGAAGGGATGAGAGAACTCAGTACATTGGACATCTGTCTTGGTCAGTTCAGGCTGCTAAAACAAAATACCACATACCGAGTGGCTTATAAACAACAGAAACTTATTTCTCATAGTTCTGGAGGCTGGGAAGTCTAAGATCAAGTCCAAGGCACCAGCAGACTTGGTGTCTAGCGAGGGCCTGAGTTCTGGCTCCTAGATGATTCCTTCTCACTGTGTCCTCACATGGTGGAAGACGAACAAGCTCTCTTGGGCCTCTTTTATAAGGGCACTGATCCCATTCATGAGGACTCTGCCCTTATGACCTAATCACCTCCCAAAATGTCCCACCTCCTAAAACCATCACCTTGGGGGTTAAGATTTCAACATATGAATTTGGGGGAGAGGGACACACACATTCAGACCATAGCAGCATCTTTTAATAGTTATTCTTTAAATTTTTCTGCCAACATAAAATCTCACTTCTCCTTAAATAGCCCCAAATCTGCTATCCTTGAAGTTTCCTATGATTTTTCAGTTATTTGTAAGCTGATTTGTCTCCAGATCTGAAATTGAAATCTCTGGCTAATGATAATAAGGTATTTATGAAGTGTCTAGTGAGGTACTAGCCAAAGCAATAGACCTTGAGTCTAAATCCCGTTCCTGTCACTCAATACTATGTGACCTCGGATAAATCACTAAATTTCTCTAAACCTAGGCTTATTCATCTAAACAATGGTGATAACCATGCCTTCTCTTCCTTAGGGAGTTTCTGTGAGAATCAAATGAAAAGATAAAAAATCAAGTTCACTGTTATCCATCAAAAACTTTGATTGTAATATGTTATTATTTACTTCCTACAAAGCTACAAAAATTAAGCCACCTTTGGGTTGTTACATTCTGGGTGCTTTTTCTGATGTATTCCTGAGATGAATAAGATGGCAACTAGGGAACTCCAATTAATTGTTTTGACTTTATCTTGCTCCAGTAGGGAAGAACTGGTTGTGCAGCACACGTAAGGTTTTGCTCTTTCTACAGCAGTCATATCTGAGGTTTTGCCTCTTCTTACCTGCTGATGAGATCTTCTCAGTGTCAATTATCAATCAATGTTGTTAGCCCTGGTCTCCATCTTTCACAAAAACTGTCAATCAAGAGTGCTGCCAAGAGCGCAGCTGACTCCTTCCTGAGAGAATGTGCTTCATCTGTTTCTCATCAGCAGCACGTGTATAAAGCCACAGTGTATGTAGAACAGACGAACAAAGCAACTAATTTCAGTACAACATTAGATTCTGCCAAAGCTATTGCTTTATTCCTAGACAATCAATTATTTCTCGAAATAGGCAATTATTGCTCCTGGTATTCAATTGCATTTGATATGAGTCTTTAGAAAACATTTTAGCCCCATTCCAGATCACAGCTGCTAGTAGGGTCATGTGGCTGGCTTATAAGCTGTTCCATCACCTTCTGCCTTTGTACTTTCTAGTTTCCTCTTGAGTGCCACTGTGATCACCCAGAAATTCACCCAGAGACACCAAGCTCATTATTGGGCTAGACTGTGCTGTCTTAATAGTAATCTCAGGCTAGCCGGTTAGCTCGGTTGGTTAGAGCACAGTGTTGATGACACCAAGGTCAAGGTTCGGATCCCCTTACCGACCAGCTGCCAAAAAGAAAAAAAAAAGTAACCTCCTCATGAGTGAGCGGATGTGTAGGCAGAGACTGGGCACTCATACCTGGAGAGACAGTAAAGAGGACTCACGTACCAATTGAGAGTTGGACTTAGTGCCCACTAAGGTTTACCTGATTCAGAGTCTATGATATTCCCCTACTAAGCAGCCCCCAATATCTTGCTTCTCTATTCCTTAAGCTAGACCGGAACAGGCTCAACTTCTTCTTTGTTTACTTTTTAAAAATTGTGGTAAAATATGTATTGTATAAAATTTGCCATTTTAACCATTTTTAAGTTAAAATTCAGTGGCATTAATTGCATTCACAATGTTGTGAAATTATCACTACTATCTTTTTCCAAAACTCTTCATCACTCAGTTAAGCAATAACTCCCCATTCCCTCCTCTCCCCAACCCTTGTTATCTCTATTTTACTTTCCATCTATATGAATTCGTCTGTTTTGGATATTTCGTTTAAGTCAAATCATATGATATTTGTCCTCATGTTTTCTTTTTGTGGGTGTGACTGACTGGTACAGGCCTTGACCCTGTTGTTACTAGCACACGCTCTCCCAAGTGAGATAACCGATCAGCCCTCCCCCCCACTTTTGTTTTTGTTTTTGTTTTGGGGTTTTTTTGGCAGCTGACTGATATGGGGATCCTAACCCGTGACTTTGGTGTTATAAGGCTACACTCTAACCAACTGAGCAAACCAGCCAGTCCCTTGTTTTCAAGGTTCATTTATGTTGTAGCATGTGTCAGAACTTTATTACTTTTTACGACTAAATAATATTCCATCTATATATATACACCACATTTTGTTTATACATTCATTTGTTAATTCAACTTCATTTTTACACCTGTATTATGGGAGATAAAAAAGCAAGGTTCAGGTGGAGCTTCAGTCTACTGATTGAATAACTGGAAAGACTGGAAAAGACAAAAACCTTCTAAATGTTATAGACTTCCCCAGGCCTTACCTGGGACATGAAAAGAATATTACTAATGGTAATAAACCAAGTTTCAATGGATTTTCCCCTTACCTGCTTACACAGGACTTAAGTACAGTACCTTGTTAAGCACTCCTTTACTCCTTCCCTCCAACCACCACATGCATTTCTGGGGAATCCCAGTGAGAAGTGAGGATATCGGCTTCATATTACATCTGCTCTGTTTTCCACTGACTCTGGCAAGACACAGCAGTCTCCCACCTAGCATCTGCTGGGTATTGCTTTACTGGTTAGCCATTGCTGTTTTCTATTAAGACTGTAGTCCCCAATTGGCATCCATTGGATGCTGCCATACCCTTAAGGCACTGCCATCACCCCCTGGGAGCTGCTCTCTCCTGCTGCAATGGAAGCTCTGGAGTTCCCAAGATTCCTAAGCTACACATTTTTCTGATTATACAATGAACTCTTCCTTTCCCTGTTGAGTTACACTCTGTGAACAGTAACAGAGCAATGCTGGCTATAGCCTGGTATTTTTCAGGTATCATACTAAAACAATAGGAAGCCCCTCCCTTTCTATGACAGAGGCTTTGTTATAGGTCAAACTCATGCAGGACTCATCCTTCCCTCATGATGTTCTCTCTCAGAGACTCCAAAGGCTCTGTGCAAATTGGCTTCAGGCCTGCCCACCCTCCATTTCTTGACATCCCCAGACAAGTCTGAATTGCTGAGCAAGTTCAAATTGGAACTCCTGTTACATAAAGATTCTAAGTATATGTGATAGAACCCCAAATTAACATCTACCAGGAACACGATACCTTTGGGGAAAAACACATTTTTAATCAGTACCTGGTGCTTACCCGTACATCCCGTTCGTTCTTCACAGGAGGGAACTTCTTTATGGAAATCCACTTTCTTATGGGTTTCAATCTTCAGAAGGTTATCTTTAAGCTTCCCATAACCATAAGTTAGACTTTAGAGGTTATCTCCTCTAGAATTAAAAAACCTGATCTGTGATATCTGATTCCTTACCACCAGAGGGAGGTATTCCTTTACTTAGTCCCTTCTTTATTTAATTGTTGAAGTATTGTACTAGAATCCACTGACATGTTTTCACACACAAGAGGATGATTTAAGGCCCTCTCCCTTATCCTTCTTTGGTCTAACAACTTTTGCTTATCATTCTTTGGCCTCTTAAAAGTTCAGAACTCGGGCCGGCCCGGTGGCGCACTGCTACAGTGCGCCGCTTGGGAAGCGTGGCGGCGCTCCCGCCGAGGGTTCGGATCCCACATGCAGACCGGTTCCCGCTCACTGGCTGAGCGAGGTGCGGGTGCGACACCGAGGGTTGCGATCCCGTTGCCGGTCCCGGTCCGGTACGGGCGTGACACTGAGGGTTGCGATCCGTTGCCGGACATGAAAAAAGACAAAAAAAAAAAAAAAAAGTTCAGAACTCTTCCTACTCCATGACTTTGATCTGATGATTAAAAGAATAGTGTTACCTGAAGTTCAACCAAACCTTCATTCACTGCTTAGATGCTGTCAAAGACAAACAGTTGGGTAGTGTATTCAGGATCTTGGCTTTCTGATGACATTATTGGGCAGGTTTGGTGCCTGAAAGTCAACCACTGGCAGAAACCTTTCTCCAATTGCCAACATATGAATATATATGAAAATCTAGCTTATTACAAATAGATAAGCAAGATGATCATTTTCTAAATAATTACAATATAATTTTCTCTAAAAAAATAAATGAGGAACAGCTAATTTGGGGAAAACCTTCTATAAATCCACAGTTACTTAAGAATAACTTCTTCTATGATTCAGAGAGATACTTTTTTTTTATTGTGGTAAGATAATACTTAACATGAGACCTACCCTCTTAAAAGATTTTAAGTGTATAATATATGTGCTGATTGTTAACTATAGGTACAGTTTTGAACATCGTTATCACTAGAACTTATTCATCTTGCATAACTGAAACTTTATACCCATCGATTAACAATTCCCTTTTTTTTTTTTTGACCGATAAGGGGATCGTAACGCTTGGCTTGGTGTTGCCCGCACCACGCTCAGCCAGTGAGGGCACCGGCCATCCCTACAGAGGATCTGAACTCGTGGCCTCGGCACTACCAGTACCGCACTCTCCCGAGTGAGCCACAGGGTCGGCCCTAGCAATTCCCTATTTTCCCCTCTCTTAGCAACAACCGTCATTCTACTTGCTGCTTCTATGAGGTTGACTATTTTAAATACCTCATGTAAGTGAAATCATACAATATTTGTCCTTCTGTAACTGGCTAATTTTCACTTAATAAGACTTATTCATGTTGTCACGTGTTGCATAATTTCCTTCTTTTTTAAAGCTGGATATATTCCATTGTATGTATTATCACATTTTCTTTATTCATTCATCAGTTGATGGAAATTTAGGTTGTTTCCACATCTTGACTGCTATGAATAGTGCGATGAACATGAGAATGCTAATATTGCTTCAAGATCCTGGTTTCAATTCTTTTGGATAAATACACAGAAATGGGATTGCTATTGTCAAAAAACAAAAGACAGCAAGTATTGGAAAGGATACAGAGAAACTGGAGCCTTTGTACATTGTTGTTGGGAATGCAAAATGGTGCAGCTAATACGGAAAACAATATGGAGGTTTCTGACCTAACTAAAAATGGAACTACCGTATGATCCAGAGAGATACTTTTTAACATTAGTCTAGAGGTAATAGAATAGGTTTAGGGGAAGGTTATACAATCAGAGACATTTAGTTACACATCTGGCCTTCAATGGAAATTACCTCGATCTCACTAGCTTCTTGGGATGGTAGTTATACATAATATTAGGAAACTTCTTTTAGCTGTTTTTCTAGAAACTGCCTGTAAACCATATTCCAGCAGAGGTTTTCCTGCCCCCTAAAATTTAGGTAAAATTGGCTTGAAATTCTGTGTCCTGTGGAAAGCCCAATGTCTTCTCTAACACTTCTGTAAATTCCTGTGAAATTTATAATTTCTTGCTCTGCCTTCCTAAAAATCTTGTCTCCTGCCTCTGCCACCTTGTGGTGGTTCATTTATTTTTGTCCTATCATTGACACAAATGTAAAATTCAGCACCTTTCCTTGATTTCTTTTTTTTTTCTTGATTTCTGAAAAAATAAAACAAATAAAGAAAAACACTGATCCAAAGCCAAACTAAATGTCAGAGACTACTGAAGTCTTAGGAAATTGGAAGAAGTTTCAGTTTTGAACAACTTAAACCACATATGAGACATCCATTTCTGTACTGAAATTTTGTCAGATTACCAAATTGTTTGGCCATACTTTCTCACCTTCTCCTCTCTCTCTCTCTCTCTCTCTTGTTCTTTCCCTCAACTGCAATTCCTGTATAGTTTCCTAAATTTTTATTCCCGTCTCCTGATGTTCATGCCCCTAGAGTCTTCTACTCCAAATATTTTCTCAAGGTATTTTTCTAAATAAAGCCTAGGAGGAATTCTGGTGCCAATTGTAAGGATGATCATATTTTCACAGACACATACACGTACGTACCATGTGGTTAGCAGAACTCTTCTTTCTGGCCCGGCTCTCTCAGCCACCATCTTGACTTAAATTGATCTCTTTTTTTCCAGAGGTGATGGCAAGTATGCCAGCCGTGATGTTTCTGACAGCCAGTGTTGCAGGGGAACTGGGAAAGAGACAGTGTTGTATATTGGAAAAGACATATAGGAAATAGGTAGCATTTGCAGATACAGTAGCATGAGATATTTTGCCATCAATCAACTAATTTTTATTGGACATCTATTCTGAATAAGTCTCTTTGGTGGAAGCATGCAGGGGAAAAAATCTTGTATATGATCCTATGGTTATATCAGAGATTGAAACTCCTAGAATATTAACAAAATCTAACTTGCTCCCACCAAGGCTGAGTGGAGAGAGGAAGTAAAAAAACACTTCGAGAAGATCAAAAGCGAAGGAACTTGTATACACCGATTAGATGAAGAACTGATTCGAAGGCGCAGAGAAGAGCTCAGGTCAGCTGATCTCTCCTTCTCCACCTCATCTCATCCCCAGGCCTTCAGATATTAGCAGGAACCCTCTTTGTAGATCACCATTTCACTGTCTACACCCCTTTCACCTCTGCTTTTTATTGTTATGTTCTTTAAAAGTTTCTCAGAAAGTTAGCTCTCCTTTATATCTTTCTTATCCTCTCCTCCCAACTGTATTATCCTACTTTATTATATCTCTGAAACAAAGATTCTTGGAGCAATGCTATTTGTTCATTGAGCCACTATCGTAGGTGCCGTGGAAGGCCAGAAATGTATAAGATTTAGTCCCTGGCTTCCGGATGCTTATAATCTATTAAGGGGTACAAGACATGTTTATAGATGACCTCTGTCTTAGTTGGGGCTGCTGTGATAAAATACCTTAGACTGGGTCATTTATAAACAACAGAAATTTTTTGCTCATAGTTCTGGAGACTGGGAAGTCTAAGATCAAGGTGCCAGCAGATTCAGTGTCTGGTAAGGGCCAGTTCCTTATAGTTGGTGCCTTCTATGTGTTCTCACATGGTGGAAGGGCAAAAGGGCTTCCTCAAGCCTCTTCTATAATGGCACTAATACCTAATCACCTCCTAAAGGCCCTCACCTGTTTATACCATCACTGTGGATGTTAGGATTCAACATATGAATTTTGGGGGACATAAACATTTAAACCATAGCAACTACTATATTAGACAGGATCTGTGCAAGCATGGCCTTGACTTTAACTCCATATTCCCCTTAATATATGAGTATATTATACCATATTCTTATTAAGATAGTGCCAACATTACACAGATGAAGGCTATAAATTATGCACAGATCACATTCAGGTTTAACATGTGGCTCTCCTGGCTATTCTGTATGGCTGAATGGGCTGTTAAGGATAAGTCAAGTGGAGAGCTTAGATTTCCCATCTCCCACTCCATTTCATGAGTCATTGCATCGGACAAGGGAGCCTTAAAAATAGAGGGCCGTAGGGCAAATGCTTTTGTGATAAACCATCCTTTTTCTTATTTTACTAACCTGACCTTTGTTCTCAAGTTAGTTGGCCTCACTGATCCTGTTTTCTTTGATAGGCATGCTTTGGATATTCGTGAACACTATGAAAGAAAGCTTGAGCGGGCTAATAATTTATACATGGAACTGAGTGCCATCATGCTGCAGCTAGAAATGCGGGAGAAGGAACTCATCAAGTATGTATCCAGAACAGTGTCTATCCTTACTGATTTGAGCCTATCAATCAGCAGAAACATACTACTCTTCCTTGTTGCTGCTACTCAGAGCTGGCAGATATTTTGTTCATCTACCCAGCATTCCTTAAGGGATGTGCTGTGCACAGGCCCTGGCCCTGGTGTGGTGCACAGATGAGCGGGTGGCACGGAACCAATTATGAGGGAGCACGCACTTGATAGGCATTTGCAATGCACATTGCCGCATGGCTGGAGAAGGGGTTCTTACTTTAAGAGCTTGGTGTGGATACATGGGAGCTTATTGCCCCCTGGAGAAGTAAGGTGGCTGCTGAAAGTGGTTTAAGGTATCCTTGATGGTAACTAGAAAACCCTGGGGTCCCTATCAAAGCAGCACTTCCAAAAATAAGCAGGACTTCTGCCACTGTATTGTGTTGTGGAGGAATAAGTTCAGTGACTGAGTTCATGAGCTGATGACTAGAATGAAATCAGGTTAATTTGAATTTAGCACTTTCTTGTTTTGTTTTTCTTTAATCTGAATAGTAGCCTTGTTATTCAAATAGCCTGTATCTAAGTGTGGCCAGAATCGGTGGGGAGCCTGTGAAAATATTCTGCCCATCCTTTCTCTCTGTAGTAACTGAGATGTAGCTTTTTTCTTTCATTCTGCAGGCGTGAGCAAGCAGTGGAAAAGAAGTATCCTGGGACCTACAAACGACACCCTGTCCGTCCAATAATCCACCCCAATGCCATGGAGAAACTAATGAAAAGGAAAGGCGTGCCTCACAAACCTGGGACGCAGGCCAAACGGTGAGACACCTGTACCGACCCAATATTCGGATAAATGGGAAGTATTCCCATAAAAATACATTCTCATATGATGGCAGATGTGGCCACTTGTGTCGCTCATCATTAGCACATTTGTCTCTAGATAAAACAGAGTAGGAAGGTGAGGGAGAGTATGCCCTGAACTCTAGGAATCGAGTTTTTACTATCTGAGGCGAAGATATTTATTGTGTTAGCAAGGAATAGAGGAAAAAGAAACTGGGGAGCAGACAGATGTGGATTCAGATCCCAGCCCTGCCTTATAAGCTGTGTGACTTGGGCCATGTCAGTTGACCTCTTTCAACCCAGGGTCCTCATGGGTGAAATGGTGTAATTATAGCACATGAGATTTCTTTTTATTTTTATGACCTCTAAGACACAGAGTTGGGTTAATAATAATTCCTGACTTATGACACAATAGTCTGTGCATGGCCCACTTTTATTTATACGTTTAGTTAGTTCTTTTTAATCATATAATAAGTGTCTGGAAACTCCCCACTAAAAACAAAAGAAGGATCTTTAATAATTACTTATACCTAAGTGTATGGTTTCCCTCATTCCACCCCTACATGGGATTTTTGTGACATTTAAATAACATGTGAAGTCACCTATTAAATTTGAAGGTGCTCAAAAATCAGGTTGTTGAGTAGTTAAAGATTGTCCTTTCCCCTTTTTATAACACGTTTGCCTTATATTAGTTTAATCTTAGAATACTTTCACTTTTTTTAAAGAAAATGTAATTTTATAAATATTATTTTTTTACATTCTAGGATGTTGTGAAGAAGTTGGGAGGGAGAGGGAGAGGCAGAGGGGGAAGGGAATGTGACAGAAGAAGGAGGAAGGAGGAGGGGTGGGATTGAGGCCTGAGGCACCCTCCTCATTCCCACAGGGGAAACTGGGGGGCTTCCGGTGGTGGCAAAAGCCCTTGCCCCCCTGACCCCAGCTGGGGAACCTGGGGCCCTTCTTGCTGCAGCTTGGTGGTCATCACTGGGCTGGTTGCACATGTGGGAGAGGCATGGCCAAGGTCCACAGTCCCCCACTGCCCTGGCTCAGGAGAGCCTGGGGCACTTCCTGCGGCAGCCTGGTAATCCGAGCTGGGATTGTTGCGCATGTCAGAGGGGTGTGGCCAAGGCCCTCTTCCCCCACCCTTGGGACTGGTTGCGGTTGTCCAGGGGCATTGCTGAGGCCCCCTGCCCTCCCCCATTTCTGGCTTGGTAGCCCAGGGGACTTACAGTTCTTCTAGATGTTATAGGTGTTCTTTGGTGAAATGAGAAATTTACTAGTTAATATCAAACTTTGTCTGTGGTTGCAGATACTTTTTTCTTTCAGTTCTATGTTGGATTAATTGCTGTTCCCACCACTTAAACTCTGCTCTGGCACTAATTTATTGTCCTTTGCTTACTTCTAAAATGGGGAAACTTCCTGTGGGGACCAGTACTTGAGCTCTGTGATTTAGTTAAATTGCTGCTTTGCTGCTGGTTCCCTAGGGAATGCTTTTTGTGCAGCTCAGGTTTTAATGGTTGACTTTATAGGTACTTCTGGGTCTAGTGAAATCCAGTGCACCTGGGTTGTGTAGAAACTCTGGTCTGGGCCTGAATCTTTTCATCAAACTGCATCCCATGCAATTCTATATTCCTGGCTAGTCTCCTCTGCATGGTCGTACGCTGATTGTGGTGCAGATCAGCTGTCCTTGCTGTGCCCCAGTGTTCCTCCAGTGGGCCTATCTTCCCCACCGCCCATGCTCCAAATGCTTCCCATGGGATGGGCCATGCTTCGGTCCCTTATGATGACTCACCAGCCTCTGAGTGGCTCCTTTTTTTCAGTTGTTGTGACTCCTCACTTCTATGTGGATCCACGGGAACCCTATTAGTGGTCTTGCTGGCCTGGGGGCCACCATGGCCCTCTTCTCCCCTGCTGCCTCTAAGCAACTTCATCCAAAGGACACAGTTGTGGCTTTTGCCAGCTCCTGCTCCATGAGCTCAGCAGCTCCAGTCTGGATGCAGCCGTGACTTGAAACAGAGCGTTTTTTTCTTTCTCTCATCTTGGCTTCTCCTGCCTTCATGCACTTCATAGGTCTCTCCTCCTCTTCCTCTGAGGTCTAGTGACCCCAGCCTGGCTGTCATTGCTTTTTTATAGTTGTAAATTGGTTGATTTGTGGGAGAGAGTGACACTGAGGACCATCTATCCTGCCATCTTGACTGGAAGTCTCTTTCACTTATTTTTTTATTACCAAACTCTGTACAACATCATTCCTCCCACATAACAGAGAATTGGCTATCTATCCTAGCTAAGTTAAAGGAAAGCAATGTTTCTAAACCTGGGGTGTAGACCTGATAGTGAGACCCAACTAAATGCAGTAAGAATAAAGATAGTGAGAAAACACAAACCAAGAATGTATTTTATGGCTATCAGAATGGTGGCCAGCCTACCATAGCAATATATAAACCTAAACTACTAATGAATAACTACGTGGATTAATTCCAATTTTGCTTTTACTTACTGTCCCTGACCATCTTCTGATCGAGTTCTGAGAAACTGTATTCCGATGGCACCTGGCACAACCCTCAGGGGAATCCCAACATTCCCCTTGAAGGATTTAAGTTTCAGATTATTTGGACAGTACAATGATTATCGAGTCAGAAGTTCAGAGACCTTGAAGGAGATCAGAGAGGAGAAACCACTCACCATCCTTAAGCTACATTTGGATTTGGATTTAGTTGGTGACTAAAAAGAACAGTATCAAGTTCAGTTATGGATCCTCCAAGCCTGTCCCAAGAAAATATTGTTCAATAAGATAGTCTGAATGCCTCATAATAAGGAGAAGCTTGAAACTGAGAAAGAACTATGTCTTGGAGTCAAAAGTCTTGGGTTCAAGTTATGAATTCTGTCATTTACTAGCTTTGTGAAAGACATAAGCTAACTCACCTCTGGTCGTCATTGCCCTTATCTATAAAATGGATGTTGTAATACTTGGAACCAAGTGCTTTATACGTTGTAAAATGCTTTGAGAACTGTGAAGTTCTGTAGCGAGGTTATTCTGTGATTTTTGCACTGCCAGTTCAATAAAAGCAGCCTTCCCCTGACTTAGGACACTTTACCTCAACTGTCTTTTAGATCCCATTGTAACCAGTTGCTGTGTAACCAAATGCCTCTAACTCAATCCTGAGAGCTCTCTTAGTAAAATCCCCAGGGCGCCTCAATCCAGATACTTTCTGCAGCATGAGTTGGCCAGCTGATCATAGACTTTTTAATCTGGGACAGGAAGTTGTTGATAGCCACACAATGCCCTACCCACCTTATCATAAACCAGTAATACCTGGAACTCCTGTGCTAAGATAGGCCATTAACTGTACTTTTCCTGGCAAAGAAGTAAAACACACTGCCTACTGCTGATGCCTACTAATTTCCTGCAAGCCTTGACTATTCAAAATGGTCCAAAGTGGTCTTCAATTCAGTGTCATCTGAGAGCTTGTCAGAATTGTAGGCCTTTAGGCCCCACCCCAAACCTTCTGAATCAAAATCATCATTTTAACATCTCCCCAGGTGATTTGTATATACCCTCAAGTTTGTACTCTGTCCAATAAGCCAGGCTGGAAATTAGAAGAGACTTCTTGTCTGATTCTACCACTAAGAAGCTGTAAGACCATGTGCCACTTTGGCTTTGGGGTCCTCATCACATATGGTGGAGGCAGGACTGTATCTATGGTTTCCAAGTAAGGTCTATCTGGGGCACCCAGGGACTTGCACAGAGGTGTCTCGGATGCTCCTGCAGGGGTGAAAGGATGAGGAGGGGGAGCCCTGCAGGGAGGGGCTTCTGCCTCCCTATCCCCCAACCAGTTCCACTATATCTGTTTTATATATTGGGTTTCTCATAATAATTCATTTGAGAGAAGGAATCTGTTGTCAAAAATCAAGTTTGGGAAAAAAAAAAAAAAAAAAAAAACCAAGTTGGGACCCTCCAGCTCTAGAATCTCCTAGTGATTTGTATCTATCTGGTCCCAAATAAGAATGAAGCTCTTCACTGGTAGGATGCAAGTGGCAGTACTTCCTGGTAATCCTAGAGTCTCTGCCCTGAATCAGTTCATCAGTTTAGAAACCATTTATTGTTTATCTATGGGTCTTGGAGTCAGGGTGGCCAAGATTTACCTTTAGGCCTCTGGCTTCCTCCTGTACATGATCTTCATGACTGACCCAGTGGGAATTTGAGAACAGGGCAGAGAATGGCGAGAGGACCTGTTCTCTTTAAGATCAAAGTGGAATGGCAGTGTCACTCCTCACAGCCCTTCTCTTGCTGCCTCTCTTCAGCCTCCTGGGCTTCCTACTATTTCCCCCTTCTCTGACCCTTCTCTTCATTTTCCTTCCCCCAAGATTTATTGAGTTCCTACTGTGAGCAAGACTCCTTGACTACTTGCTAGGGTCTGTCACGTACAAAGAGGGATAGACATAGTCCCAGTCCCAGCCCTCAAGGAGACCCATGTCTAGGCCAAAGTTCCTGAACTTAGCCTCTTATCTAATTAACCTAAGGTTTCCTTCTCTGGGACCAGATCTCTTTCCTTTGTGATCCCTGGGGAATCTGCCCATATCCATCAACAGACAGATTTTTGATAGTGGGCAAACACCCATGCCCATACCTTGGCATATTGGCACCAAGCTGAGAGCTAGGATTATGAGGAAGAGATTTTAAAAGCGTGTAGAGTAGAGGCACAGAATAAAATTCAGAAGGAATAAAGGAAGTCCTCTATAAGTGGACATTTAGGTTGTTCCCAACTTTTTGCTATTATAAACAATACTGTAATATAACATCCTCAAACATACATTTTTGCGCACATCTATATCTCCTCTGGATAAGTCCCTGTATATGTGACTGCTGATTCAAAGGGTGGGGGTGTTTTAAGGCATGGGATACATTTCCCCAAACTCGAATGTGTTTTCATGTGTTTAAAACTAAACCTCTTCTTTTCTCCCAGGCCAGATCTGTTGAGATCTGAAGGTATCCCCAGTATGGAAGTGGCTCCCACTACATCCCCTTTGTCTGGAAGTCCCAAAATGTCCACCTCAAGCAGTAAGAGCCGATATCGAAGCAAGCCACGCCACCGCCGAGGGAATAGCAGAGGCAGCCATAGTGACTTTTCAGCAATCTTGAAACACCAGCCAGCCCAGGAAAATTCACCCCATCCCACTTACCTACACCAAGCTCAATCCCAGTACCCTGCTCATCACCACCATAATTCTCTGCAGCAGCAATACCAGCAACCCCCTCCTGCCATGTCTCAGAGTCACCATCCCAGACTCAATATGCACGGACAGGACATCGCAACCTGTGCTAACAACCTGAGGTATTTTGGCCCAGCAGCAGCCCTGCGGAGCCCACTCAGCAACCATGCTCAAAGACAGATGCCTGGCTCCAGCCCTGACCTCATCTCCACAGCCATGGCAGCAGATTGCTGGAGAAGCTCTGAGCAAGACAAGGGCCAGGCTGGCCCCTGGGGCTGTTGTCAGGCTGACCCTTATGACCCCTGCCTCCAGTGCAGGCCAGAACAGAGTGGGTACTTAGAAACCCCCTCTGCTGAGCCAACGGGGAGGAGCCCTGACCTTTCCAAGTCACCAGCACACAATCCCCTCTCAGAAAATGCTCAGGGTTCTGAGAAAATGGTAGAAAATGAATTCAATGGCTGTGGGTCTGCCTCACCCCTTGGCACCCCTCACCACATCACCCCCCCAGTGCTACCTCGAAAAACAAGGCCCCTTCAGAAGGTAAGGTGTGATGACAAGAGTAGTCTGTATCACTGCCTTCAAAGAACGTCTGAGCCTATCGCATCATGCACATTATAAAACGCATGTTAAAAGTACATATTTTATGAAAGGACGAGGTAACAAAAACATGAAAAGAAGTTTCTTTTACTTTAAGTACTTTCTTTCCATTCTGCTTAAGTGATGGACTAGGGAATACACTTTAGGAACTACTGAATGAGATACTGATTCAAATGTATTAATTTGCAAATAGATAACTGTATATTGGGGATATATAATCAGAGTAGTTTGGAAACCACTACTGTAGAACCCTAGTTGCAAAAAGGAAGGATCCCATTATAAAATAAGTTTGAGAAACATAGTACTTTCTGTCCCCTTTTGGAGATTCCTAGTACACATTAACAAATCATAGGCTTTGAGAAATCATGTGTGTTTAATTCAGCATTTCCCTCACCTATTTGACCACGCAGCCTTTTAAAAATAACGTCTATTAATCCCCTATGGAACTAGCTTTCTTTATAATATACTTTGGAAAACATTGCCCTAATTAATAACCATCATAACCCAGTCAGCGCTTAGTCATTGAAACCTGTTTCTCTCCCCTTCATCCCCTGGCTGCCTGGGGCTTATTGGCTGGAAGGCAGTCTGGCATAGTGGCTAAGAGCATGAGCTTGGGAGTCAGGCAGATCTTAGTTCAAAGCCACTTAGCACCTCTATAAGCCTTGGTTTCCTTGTCTGTAAAATGGGCCTAATAGTGGACTTTGCCTCATTGTCTGATGTGAAGATTAAATGAGTTAATACATGCAAAGTGCTTAGAAAAAGCCCTGAAACATAGCAACCTTCCAAAAATGTTAGCTTATCTCGCTAATAAGTTAAAAATGAGATTATTATGAAAAGTATTTGGAACATGATAAACCCCCACTAGATTCTGAATATTGTTCCATCTCATCATCATTGTTCATCAGGAATTTAGTTGAAGGAATGAAAGTGTCTAAAACGTAGATGACTATGTTTTGGTCTACTAGACATTTAGTAGAAAAGAGGTTGAAGTTGAAGGCAGTTGTCTCAGAACTGTATTTCTTCCTTCACACACTTTGCTGCTCCTGACTAAGCATTGCCAGAGATTAAATAGTGTTTCAGATGGCACGGCTGATTTGGGCTAATCCATTCTCTTCTCCCCCCACCCCTATGGCCAATAATATGTATTTTTTGGTAGCAACTTTATTAAGATATAATTCACATACCATACAGGCCTTCCACTTAAAGTGTACAAGTCAATGCTTTTTATTCAGAGTTGTACAACCATCATCATGACCAATTTTAAAACATTTTTCATCACCCCAAAAAGAAACCCCACACTCTTTTACATTCACCCCATTCCCTAGTCTCCCCCAAGAGTTTTTGAACCATCCTGATGGCATTTTTATGCCTTCTATGGGTCTGCAGGCCACAACACACACCTTCCACATTTGGCCTCATTGAAACCGCACTCCCACGGAGCAGCTCAACTTCCCTTTACCAAGATGCACTCCCAGAGGTATTCCTCGGGTAAACTGCTCATCTCAGCAATTAGGATCACTTCTTCCCTGTCTTTCCTATTTAAAAAAGCGTATCAGTATATAAACAATTAAGAATCATGGTCTTTTAGAAATTACTTTTAAAAAGGCAAATTATCCTCAATCTTTGGTACAGTTATTTGGACCCAATTACCCACCTCACAAGAGACTGGTAATCCAGTGTATCATGATGCTTTGGTTAAGGACAGTTGATCTTAAATGTGGCTGGTCTTATGCCCTTGATTGTAGATAAGATCTTCCCTGTAAAGGAGGATCATCTTTTCAGTCAGGATACTTACTCAGACTTCCAGATCAACCACATAGCCCTGGCAATCACAGCCTCAGGTGTCCCCAACCACAGCTCCCTTATCCCTGCCAACATGCTGACTCAATAAAAATGCATTAAGCAATTATTTTTAATTGACAGATAATAATTGTATATATTTATGAGGATAAGCACCTAGTTTGTGTGCAGCATTGTATTAATGGTGGAATGAGGAATACAATACAATCAAGACATGGTTGACCCACAGTGTATGTCTTAGTATAACTATAATACTAGTGAAAAAGTGACTAGTATATAAAAGGGGTAAAGTAGTTGTTGAGCTTTGAAGAATTGAAGACCACTTCTTGGTGGAGGCTCTGACGGAACCTGGAACCACTAGTGACAATGATCAGAAGAGACTGCCCCCAAGTCCAAGACCTCCTGTCCAGTTTCCCTCTCCATCACTCATCTCTGGACACTTCCATGAAGGCTTCACCTCCCTGAGGGCAAAGATCAAGTTTTACTCAGCTCTATATGACTTCTAGCATCTAATACAGGACCTGTCATCATAAGCTCCCAGGAAAAGTTGCTAAATGAGTGTATGAGGATACATATATTTAAAGATGACACTCAGCAAGCTACTACTAAATGCCTTTTGACAATAATTAAATCTTTTACAGGTAGTGGGGGGTGAGGGGTGTGTGTGAGAGAGAGAGAGAGATGCTAAAACAAATAAAACTTTTTTCTCCTCATTCTCCTCAGAGTGGAGATGACTCCTCAGAAGAGGAAGAAGGGGAAGTCGATAGTGAAGTTGAATTTCCACGAAGACAGAGGTAAAACCAACAAACACATAGGATTTCCTTCAGGATAATGGAGGAAGATCCTGAGTTCGTCCTGCTGTTCAAACACAGGTCACTCTCTGACAGCCACCTTCTAGGAAAATTTGAAGTCTCTGTGTTCATGGTTTTCCACTGTCACATTTTGGCATTTGGTTATGCACAGCAGATCTAGTCCATCAGAATTTATTTCATAGGAATGTCAAGATGAGGAGCATAAATAGAGATTCAAGGTTACAATCAAGAACATGGTGGGCAGTTTGTGAGGGAGGGCTATGCTGTTTTGTGAGTAATTTTACTGGTTTCCAGCAGACCTCCCTGTTTTGGTCAGCTTGGGCTGCTAAAGTAAAATACCACAGATTGGGCGGCTTAAACAACAGAAATGTATTTCTCATAGTTCTGGAGCCTGGGAAGTCCAAGACCAAGATTCCATATGATTAGGTTCCTGGTGAGGGCTCTCTTCCTGGCTTGCAGACAGTCACCTTCTCACTGTGTCCTCACAGGAAGAGTGAGATCTTCTCCTTTTTATGAGGTCACAGTCTTATCAGATTAGAGCCCTACCCTTATGGCCTCATTTAACCATAATCACCTCCTAAAGACCTATCTTCAGATACAGTCATATTGCAGGTTAGGGCTTTAACATATGAATTGTTGTGTTGGGGGGGGTAGGAAATAGTTCAGTTTATAGCATCCCCATGCCTTGGATTTTATACTTCAAGTTAACAATGAATAGATGAGTTGAATCCTCCTTCAATCCAGCTGTAGAAATAGCTTCCTGCTTAGCTAGCAATCATAATTTTTCTGGTGGGATTAAAGAAGGATCATTTCCCCTTACTTCTAGAATAAAACTGCCCCTGTTTAGAAGTGGGTAGGGTAGTTTTCTTCCCAGGAGGCCTTTTTCTCCTGATAGACTTTCTGTTCTTCAGGAGTAAGACTCTAAGAATCTCCCAGGAAGGTTTGTGTACCTGCCACCAAACAGAAATTCCCTGCAAACCAAGGGACTCTTAGCCCTTTGATAAATTGTACTCTGGATCCCAACACTGTGCACAAAATTGAAATCTGTTCTTATCTCCTACTATTCCTGGGCTCTTGACTCTTTTCATGTGTCCTTGATTCTACTTCACCCTGATCCTTGACCCCCAACTTTCACCCCATCACCTGGCCCAGGCATTAACCAGGCCTAGATTATATGCTATCAAAATTGCTTTGTACTAAGAAATACAGAAAGATCAAGCAATGGTAGAAGAAAAAGTCAGTCATCTTTTTATTATTTGTTTTATTTTATTTTATTTTATTTTTCCTTTTTGTCTTTTTTACTGACCGGTAACGGGATCGCAACCCTCGGTGTTGCGCCCACACCGCGCTCAGCCAGTGAGCGGGAACCAGTCTCCATGTGGGATCCGAACCCTCGGCGGGAGCGCCGCCACACTCCCAAGCAGCGCACTCTCCAGTGCACCACCGGGCCGGCCCCTGTTTTATTTTGTTTTTTAAACCAGAGTAAGCTAACTGTATTCTTATTTACTAAGCTACTTGTAAATAATGGGAAAGAAATGAGGAAGTTTTGCAAATTCTCTTCCCAGAAACTTCAGCTCATCAGACCTAAACCCAGATGTTAATGAGTTGCCAACTGGCTGGGCAGTGTCCACAGCTATAGAGTGAATGTTCCTTCAAAGATCATTTCTGTTTGGGGGTTGGTGAAGGCACTTGGCCTTCCAGGGCTGCCATGCCCAATGGACATTGGGCCCTAGGAAATGCAGCTCAGGTGGAAGGCGGGTGGGGTGGGTAGAGAAGGACACTGAGCAGGGTGTGAGTAGACCCAGACCAAACCTCATCTCTGCCTCTCTGATGGTGTAGCCTTAATGAAGTCACTTCCCTTCTATGGCTTCAGTTTTCTCATCTGCCAAATGTAGTGCAGACGATCTCCAAAGTCTCTTTCACCCGTGAGAATCTATGACTCTCTGAATAAGAAACATGATTTCAGTTTGGACATTTCCATACTACACATGTACACAAGCTGATTTTTTTTCAAAAACAGTGGTAGCCATCAGCTCTGGAGTGTAGTGTTTAGTCACGTAAACGTATAAATCAAATGGAAAAGGAAATTTAAATTTCCCTCTTATGTTAGTCACCTCGTGCTGCCTCAGCAAAATACCAAAGACTGGGTGGCTTAAACAACAGAAATGTATTTCTCACAGTTCTGGAGGATGGGAAGTCCAAGATCAAGGTGCCAGTGGATTCAGTTTCTGGCGAAGGCTCTCTTCCTGGCTTGCAGATGGGCACCTTCTCTCTGAGTCTTTACATGGCCTTTCTTCATTGTATTCATGTGGAAAGAGTGAGAGAGAGATCTTTTCCTGATCTTATAAGGCCATCAATCCTATCCGATTAGAACCTCACCCTTATGACTTTATTTAACTTTAATTACCTCCTAAAAGCCCTGTCTCTAAATGTAATCCCATTGGGCATTAGGGCCTCAACACAGATTTTGGGGGTACACAATACAGTCCATGGCCTCTCTCTGTTGCATTAACATTAGTTTCTACCTATCTTGATTTTTAGTCTTTCTCAGGAGCAGGAAAAAAACTATTATCTCTCACCAAGACTATAACTGACAAGGAAAGGAAAGTAGTTGTGATTAAGTCCCTCTGGTTCTTCGTGGTTCCAGGCCTCATCGCTGTATCAGCAGCTGCCAGTCGTATTCAACCTTTAGCTCCGAGAATTTCTCTGTGTCTGATGGTGAGGAGGGAAACACCAGTGACCACTCAAATAGTGCTGAGGAGTCAGCTGATAAACTTGAAGACCACCTGGCAGAGAAGCTAGACGACCTGCTGTCCCAGACGCCGGAGGTCCCCATTGAGATATCCTCCCATTCGGATGGGCTCTCTGACAAGGAGTGTGCCGTGCGCCGTGTGAAGACACAGATGTCTCTGGGCAAGCTGTGTGCAGAGGAACGTGGCTACGAGGTGGGGCTTCTCCTCCTCTCATCACTGGTCCCTTCCTAGCTCTTTTGGGTGCAAATATGAGGGTACTTCAAAAAATTCATGGAAAGAAGGTAATTAAAAGATAATAGGAATCCTTCCATGAACCTTCTGAAGTACCTTCATATGTTCAAGTCCCTCGGGTCTTTATAATTTTCACTTAGTCTATCAGATACGACAGCTGCCTCCGTGAAGTAAGTAGGAATACAGAGACCAACAGAGCTCCCAGAAATGAGGGCAGTTTCTTCCAAATGAGGCACAAACATTGAACTGCTAAGGAACCCTTCATTTCAAGATTTAACTCAAACCTCACCTCCTGACCCCATCTCCCAGCCTGGTTAAGGGTCTGAGCCTCCCTCCTCTGTGTCCCATTCTCCCCTGGATGTTGCTATCATAGCACATGTAATACTTTATTTCATATGTAGTGCTGCCTTTGGAGAGGCAGGATACATAGTGGTTATAAGTGTACTGCCTGGATACAAATCCCAGCCTTTCCACTTACCTACTGTGTGACCTTAACCTCTCTGTAGGTCAGTTTCCTTATTTGTAAAATGAAGATGATAATAACAGCTATCTCATAGGGTTATTGTGAGGATTAAATGGATTAATAGATGTAAAGCCTGGGACAGTGCCTGTAATACAGTAAGCACAGCTATAGTGGTGGGGGTGTGGTGGTACTGTTTTGTCATCATCATCATCAGCAGCAGCAGCAGCAGCATTACATGTCTTCTTTCTTCAATAGCCCCACAAGAACAGGACCTGCTTTCATTTGTCTTTGCAGCCCCCTTACCCAGCACAGTGCCTGTCGTGTGGTAGGTGTTCAATATATGTTTACTGAGTTATTATAGAAATGAACTAAGGTTTTATTTTGTCTTGACTTCGCAGAACCCTATGCAGTTTGAAGAATCGGACTGTGACTCTTCAGATGGGGAGTGTTCTGATGCCACAGTTAGGACCAATAAACAGTACAGCTCTGCTACTTGGTAATGAAGGAATACCCATCCTGAAGATCTCATAACTATACTGGCATTTCAAATATACCCCACACCCAGACTCTTTCCACTCTCTCCCTGCTTTTTTTTCTGGGAAGAGAGCTGCCCCATCTTTCCTACCCCTAGAAATGAGCTGCAATAACAGGAACATGAGACTTCGCAAATCTCTGGAAAAAAATATCCAAATGAATTTAAGTCTCACTGAACATTTCAATCAAGAATGGCAGGGATCTATTTTATTGAATATTCTAGCTACTGTAACATTGATATTTATTTTTGTTTGACATTTTAACACTTTGTACTGTAAAGAGTGAACTATATATGATATAGAGAAAGACACAATAATTTCTTGCAAAAAAAAAAAGAGAGAGAGAGAGAGAAAGGAAAGAAAAGAAAGAAAGAAGTGGAACGTAGGAGCAACATCCTTGGGAATTTGTGGGGTCGGGAGGTATTACTGCTGCTTGAACAAGGGACCAGGTCTTTTGGCCATAAGCTACTGAAGAAGAGCCAGACAACACACTGAGCATTTTAGAACATAAAGAACAGCAAAATAAAAGCAATTCCAGACCACATTATGCTTAACCAGCTTGTCCAGGTGGGTGATGGAAATGACCCAGAGAATTTTGGTGACCAGACACTTGCACCCAAGGTCTTTGAGGGCATGTGCTTCCTCTAGGAGGAAAAACAAACAGAAAAACTATATATGTGGAAGCTGATTTCATTTATTAAATTTTAAGCAGCATTTGGTAGTGAGGCTTACATATAGTATCAAACCTTGTCCTTCGCAAATACTTCTCTTTTTAATGCTGTCATTGTCATTACTTTGACCAATATGTTACGTTAACCAGGGCGTTGATCTTTCAGACTCAAGTGCCATTTTCTTCTAGCTTATTTCCTTTCTACCTGTTGACCACTTCCTTTAGGAAAAAAGGGGTGGGAGAGGAGGTGCTGAGGAGGAGAATAAGAATAAGAGAAGACAGACATCTACAACAGTGTTAGAAAAGTGAATGTGGAATTTGTAAAAGTCCATTCTCAGGGTGGTTCAGTTCAGCTATGTTGAGAAGGAGTCACCCCTCTCTGGGTGAGGTTACTTGTCTGCTACCGTCATATGATTCAAACAGGAGAACAGTCCTTGAAGGCAGCTAAGATATGTGTGTGTCTGTCCAATGTCTAGTCCTAAACCTTCTCCTTGTTTTCATTCATTAACTCATTCTATCCTGGAAATCTTAGTGATGGCTACTACCGTCAGAATAAAGGCAAAATGAGCAGCTTGCAAAAGGCAACTCCTCTCTGACCACGGTAGCATTTTTGTTAAGTGCTACTTGTAAAATGTATTTTACTTTCCCATGAATCAATGTAGTTTTGAATAACTGGATTTGGAAATTTGTAGGAAAAACAACTGATGCTGAGCAAGGATTGAGAAGATTTTACATTGTCAGAAAGCATGAGGTCCTTCCTATCTCCAGAGTCATGGGCTCTGAAAAGCATCCCAAGGTACTTCTTGGTGCCTTGGCTTTAAGGAAAATTTTATCTAGAATTTTATATACAAACAGATGTTGACCTGTCTCCATCTCCATGATAAGTTACTGTCAAAAAACCTCTCTAGACTTGCTAGACTCTCTGACGTTGCATCATGTTGGACGATAGGAAAGACTTGCACATACAGGTATTAAACCATTTCCAATGCAGATGAAAATGTTGCCCCTCCTCTGGGTTTCACTGATGCATCAGCCAAAAAGGAAAAATAGGAGGGAATTTAGAGCAGTTCCTTTTGCTTGTTTGATCCCTCCATTTGTTTACACTTTATGTTCAAGCTTTTATTTAAAATTTGTTGTCTATAATTTATAGCTCTTTAGGTAGGATGAAGGAAGATATTTAACATATAGAGAACAGTATTGTTTGCGTTAAATTATTCCATTTTGTATAAATTCTGTAGCTGGACTACATGAAAGATCTTAAGTTATAGCATTTTTATCATTGTTATTTTATTTTATAATATTATCATTCTCATTTTCTGTCGATCAGAAGGTATGGTTTACAGTGTAGCACAGTGATTGTGTCTATTGCTAACCATGAATTATTATGGATTTTTATGATTTTAATGAAGGAATGAAAATGGAACTGCATTTGGGAGATCTCTGGTATTCATCTTAGTTGTATTCCCTCATTTTCTATGTACAACAACAGTCATCTGAGGATGTGTGTTCTGCCCTGAAGCCCAAAGAATACAATGTGTTTTTGACTTGATCAAGAAACCTTCTGGGTGGGCAGATGACGGAGTAGATGGACAAATAGTTCAAAAGCTGTAAACTTTCTCAAGTTTCTTAAGAAATAAAGTCATGGGACTATATTAGAAGCAAAAAGAGAATTATTTAATGCCCTGAGAAGAACAAGACTTAGAGAGTTTCTGCGCGGGGCTCGTGGATTCATTTCAAAAATTGGCGGCATAGTTTGTAGTCTTTTTCCTGGCAGATCCCACAAATCTAACCTTTTTTCTCCTAGTTGGGAGTAACAGGGAGACTAAAAAAAGAAAGAAAATATATATATAGGACATGACATAAAATGCCTAATTGTGATGTCATCCCATAACATAAATAAAGAGGGAGGCCTAGTAACTTAAAGGATCATAGAACTAGAAAATTACCCTGAAGGGCCATATTTTCCATCCTATGATTTCAGATCACACTGTATTGTGAATCTCTGATTCATTACTCCTTGGAATGGAGATTCTACAGCCCTGTGTCCTCTTTCTGTTAAACATAAAACCTTGACACTTCCGTTTGTTCAGTTCTTGCCCACCTGTAGTAGCACCAGAGAAACATGAGGGGCAACTTCTCTCTTATACCTTTCAGTAATGGTCTTCCTAGGAAACCCACCCCTGATACCTCATCATTTTGATCAGTTTGTTGAATTCCCATCTTGATTATCTGTTATGCTAGTGCCATCTTATCTGGATTAACTGTTATGTTAGAATAGTAGATAGTGTTGAATCGTCTGTCATTCACTGTATTGCCAAGAGTTGAATAAGTCCACATTGAACACATTTTTTTAGGAGAATTGACTAGAGATTTCAGAGAACTGCATCCTCAGTCAAGCTTAAAAAGGGAAATATTTTCTCTGTCCCAGCCTCGTCCTTCACTGCCTGCCTTGTGATAACCAGGAAAATCTTGAATTGATGTGTTCTTTGAGAACAGCTCCATAGTCATCTGAAGAGTGTTGAATCAAGAGCCCAGGGTACTTGAGAGCTAATTCTTCAGTCCTGACAGCTCCAGTAGTGCTTCAAGGAACCTCACAGGACTGTGATTTCAAGCTTCATCACTGATCGAAGGTTTAACCCCCTTGGGATGAGTGTTCACATTCATTTAGCATCTGTTTTTGACAGACTGCAAGATGAGTTTTAATTTGTGTTGCAGATGAGCATTTGGGTCTGATTTCCATCTATTTCTAAATCATGTCCTCTGAATAACAATTCCTCTTATCTACTTTGAAATTATAATGAACCTTATCACCACTAAAGTTTAGACCTGCTTGCAAGATTGTGGGGAGCTCCTACTCGAAGGTGAAGGTGGTGGCTCTGTTGTAGGATGATTAGCATGGCCTACTGGAAGTTCAGGTATTTAAAAGCTGTAGTATCAACAAATCCATCCTTCTAGAATTAAGGACATTTTAAGCAGGATTTAGTAAGTACTGGACATCTATTTCAGGGCCTCATTGTGCTAAATTATTCCCCTATCCTACCATAAGTAATAGATGTGATGGTTTTAGATTTTCCTGGTACCAACCCAGGCTAGTTTAAATGCCCTCCACCACTGTGGAACACTGACATCCTTCCAGTGTGAATTCATCCTTATGGATCAGATGATTTACTCTTTTTCTCCCCCCATGCCCTTATGTCTCAGTTTTTTTTCCTTTTCTTAAAACATTCCTACTCGAACTTCCTGCAACTGAATTCTCCAGAAGAGGACATAATATTGGGAATCCAAGGAATTCCTGCCCTGGTTCATAGTACAGTGTGCTGTATTTTCTGTTTTCCACTGAGCCAGAAATCAAAATACCACCACATACCACCATCTACCACCGCCATCCTAGACACCCAAGACCAACATTATTTATTGAACATCATACTCTTTCCTACTGAGCCTACAGCCTCAGAACCTCTCACAACACAGCACTTGGAGCAATGACTACCACTTGATTGGAATTGGTGTGCACAGGGAAATCCGTTTGTCATCCCAACCCTAAACTCATAATTTACTTAAAGTGGTTTTGAATCTTGAGTTAGCCCTGACAGGAGAATGACAGGATCGCACTAGTGTTCTCCTTATGGATCCCTCCTAAGGCTGTCAGGTGCAGTACCAATGACAGGGAAAAGGCCTTTTGCCTCTACCCACAGCCCTTTTGGACTACAATTCCAATTGAATAATCACTAATCATTGATAGATCAAATTCCAAAAAGTCTCTTCATTTCCATCATTTAATTGTGTTCAATGAGCATGTTCCTCCCTCACCTTCTATAAACAGAAAATTAACGTAAGTCCCAGTTACTTGCTTCCTCCTTAGACTCTGTGAGAAAAATGTACCAAAACAATGTGACATTCTTTTCAAGACTTTGACTTGTACTTTCAGTATGAATTTAGTGCCTTTCCAGGCAGCAAGATTTTTCTTCTTTGCTGATTCCATAGGACAAATGCCCTGGTATCCTCACACCACCAGTGTCAACAACCTCACAGACTGGCATGTTAGAATCATATGAGTCTGCTTGTTTGCATGTTACAACTGATACTGCAAACACCTGTTCAAATTGTAATGAACTAGGCTGTTAAATGGAGGGACCTTGAGGAACTTGGAGCATTTCTCAGGAATGGGTGGCAAAAGAGGGAGAGCTCTGAAATCACTGCTCCGAGAAACACGGTTACCTCAAAGGAATTGGGTTAAGGCTTTCGTTAACTGCCATGTGGCCAGGGCATGATGGCAGGGTTTCATACATTGCCAAACCCGAAGCAGGTGGCAAGGAAGCACTGTGAGGAAGCTTCCAGCAAAATCTTAAGCCTGTTCTCCAGAACCACTTCACAGCGCTCAGGGGATCACCGGCTCCTGGCCCATCTGCTTGCTGTCCAGGGACCAGGTGGACAGGGTCCTCCAGCTGTTGTGGGCCAGAGGGAACTCCGGCCAGAATGTGCAAGCTATTAGGATGTCCCATATTGACCCTGTCACCCCAGTGGCTCTCCATATCTAGAGTGACCACTTTCCAGATTCTGGAAGTGGGAAGACCCTCTTTCTTTATTACAATAATTTGAGTCCCTATCAATTTGGAGCACATGAATTTGTGGTTAAATCCCACAGTGAACTCCCTCCTGTGTTTCCCCCGTGGTCTCCCACACTGTTGGTTCCCCTGCTCCCTGTGTTTTCCGGTGCTGGCTCCCTCTTTGTATTAACAGTGATGGGAACAAGAAAGACTATCAAAGCAAACAAATGCATGGAATTAAACAAAAAGTGTGTTTCACTGTTTTCTGGTCCTGTCTTTTCCTAAAGGTACAGTTTGTGCCCTGAGAGCTGCTTTAACAAGTCTCAGCATTTGTCAGAACTTTAGGGAAAGGAAGACTTTACATGGCTGGGTTTCCTTCAGCCAGGAGAAATGGGTGATGGGGAAAGCGGGTTTCTGTGACTCATGCATTTCAGACAACTACAAAAGCAAAGAGACGACCATCACTTTCTTTTGGTAGTCTCTTCTTGTGTATCCCGGAGAAGCTAGGCAGGCACTCTGCTTCTCCCATATGCTCTCCTGCTGCCCAACAGTAGCTGTTTCTGTTATTAGTGACCCCAGTATAAAGTGAGCATAGAGAGGAAAAAGAGGAAAATGAAAATCTGAGGTGATTTTGGTAAGAAGCCTACTGTGAGTGGAAAGCTAAAACACCATTTTGGATTGTCTAATTTTCAGCCAATCCTGATTCCCATTGGCAAGGGCAGTTGAAAGTTAGCAACATGTACAAACAAGCACCACACAGAACATTTATATCCATTTATTTGGGAAACTGCTTTACCTGTAAACCCACAACTGATAAGGCACCCTGTTGCAAAATCATGGGGGAGGAGGGGCACAAATACAAGGATCCTGAAAAGGGGCTCACTCACATTTGCAATACAGTAGTGTGGAAACCTTCCGTGTTTCTCTTTTCCTCCCCCTACTCCAGAACACTAAGAGCCTCTGACTTCAAAATCTAGTCTGCCGCCTCTTTATCCCCATTCATTATCAAGGCTTCTTTTAAAGAAACACACTTTGGGCCGGCCCGGTGGCGCATTGGAGAGTGCGCCGCTTGGGAGCGTGGCGGCGCTCCTGCCAAGGGTTCGGATCCCATGTGGAGACCGGTCCCCGCTCACTGGCTGAGCGCGGTGCGGGCGCAACACTGAGGGTTGCGATCCCGTTGCCAGTCGCGGTACGGGCGCGACACCGAGGGTTGTGATCCCGTTACCGGTCAGGAAAAAAGACAAAAAAAAAAAGGAAGAAAAAAATAAATTAATTTAAAAAATAAAATAAAATAAAGAAACACTTTAAAAAATGAAATCCTTGGTGTGAAAGGATCATACTATGTCCAAAAAATACCACTTGGAAATCATTCTTCGTATGGAACACAAGTATTTCCAAGAATTCATTTAGAGCAAGAGACCTAGATTAAAGCCTTGGCAAGATTTTTGGTGAAGCCAAATAAAAAACCTAGCAGATGATGCCCAAGAGCAACAGTTCTGGGGAGTAATGAGTTACTCTTGTAGAATATGGGATCACAGAGTTGGTCACTTTAGGTGCCAAGGTCCTTCTGACCTTGGCAGCAATAACTCAATTGGACAAAACAAGCCAATTCAATACTACAGCTGTGGGAAGCAATGATAGCTTTAGATGATTAAGATACAAAACAACAAAGTAATCAGACCAGGTTTTCCTCTTTGAATTAAAAGATAACATACAACTATTTCTCAGTTATTCTCGGCAAATGACAAAATGAAAAACATTCAGAGGGTACACTGGATGATAGCCTAGTGTACTGAATCCACTCTCCTAGCAGGATATAGAAAGGATTCCCATGCAGAAAGGACAGGTTATAAAATGTATAGATGGTCATTTGATTCAGGTGAATCAAGGGTCCTGCCCTGTCCAATTTCCTGAGAAATTCCAGAATGTATCCATACCATACAGTTTGTACCATTCATATTTAATAGTCTGTTTGCGATCAGCTTAATTGTCAGGACATGCAACCATAAGGAGATTTGACATACATGGTAACATCAGAGTCTGAACACAAGAGCATCACAGAAATTACTGTGCATATGAGCACAATGGAAGTCCTAAGCAGTTTGTCAGTTTGTTTCCCTTGACTTATGGAAGAGGTAGATCATCAGCAAAAAGGTCTGGAAGGAACACTCTTTAAGAGACTAACAAGGTGAAGAGTGATGTCAGTGGTGTGAGTTCACATGTCATAACATTGATACTAATAACATCCACAGGGACTTAACAGGAGAACACCTGTCACAATAGCCTATCACTTTGCAAGAGGCACTCTGGACAAGGACAATCAGCACCTTCTCCCAAGGCAGCTCAGGGGCTGGCAAGAGATAAATACAACAGACTATCCAGAGTTCCTTGTTATTCAATAAAATATAAACAGGATTTTCTAGGAGGCCATCCATTTTGCAGAGAGTCCTGCTAAACCAGGGCTGGTTTGAAAATCTGATATGATTCATCTTCTAGAGCACAGAGTGTCCTTTATGACAAGACATTGCACACCCAGATGAATAGAGTGTCCAAATCACCTCTTGAGGGTAATTTAAAAACAATGCAGGGATTTAGAGGACCACACTCATTTCAGGGACAAACAGAAAATTCAGATCACGTGACTTTCCTACTATTTATATGATTGGCACTGCTTGTTTTGTCCAGTTGCAGGTGTTTCTGGCTAAATATTTTAATGAGGGTTCCAGGAACTAAGGCCACCAGAGCAATGGCCAATAGCTTTAAGACAGTTTCCCAGGAGAAAAGAGCATCCAGAGAGGTGAGGGTTGACAGGATGGAGCCTGTCTGCACACAGATGAAATTGTATGGGATCAAACCTGGAAGAACAAAAGAGAAAAGAGCCTGTTACTGGGGGCAGGAAAATTAAGAAAATAACATTTCAGAAATGTCAACAGGAATTCAGAACAGCGACTGCAGTCTCCAGTTTTTTTTTTCCTGATTCCCGACCCTTAAACATATCACCTCTTTCCCTTCTTTCCTCCTTTCCCACTCTTTCCTCCTTTCCTTACTTCCCATGCACACCTGACTTGTTCAACAAATGAACTTGAAATGGTTTACACAAATATATATACACTACAATGAGATAAAAATTTTAAATTAGGAAAGACAAAAGGAATGCAGAGGAATAAAGTAGGTTGGGAAGCACTGGTACAAAAACGTGTAATGTTCACCCATTTGCTAAAGGTGGTGAGTGTCCAACAGCCAAAAAATAGTGAAAGAAGCACCATGATTATGAGATTTACAGTATGCATAAGATTTTTAAAAAACAGTTTCTTAAAAGAAGTACTACACTGGATCCCAAAAGATGGCTGGACAGGCTGGTTGTATGATAATCGCCTGGTGAAGTTGAAACACATTCCCGGGCTCCACCCCAGAGATTCTGATTACTTGGTTCTGGGCAAGAACCCAGGAACCTGTATTTTAAAAGACTGTCCCCATCTCCACCCCCAAGATTCTGATTGGTTTGGGACCTTCTGATAATCCATTCTTCCATAGTAGAGGAAATATATAGGAGATGAAGACCCTAGTCCTCTCAAGGTCACATGGCTTGCAGACTGGGGACAGGAACCCTGGTCTCCAGAGCCTTCTCCAGCCTCATGCCACCTATGTAATTACAAGCTATTAACCCCTATTAGCCGAGGTGCTGAGGCACTTTGTCTGAAAGCTGATATGACCAGAATTGGCTGTGGTAGATTTCACTCTGATTTAAGATCTTGTAGTGGATTGAATGCAGTGAGTTTTGGAGTCCCCCAAAAACTCACTGAAGCTTGAATTGTGTCCCCCAAGTTTTATATATTAGAAACTTGGCCCTTACTGTGACTGTTAAGAGTGTGGGAAATCCTATTATGGTAATTGAAGGTGGGCCCTTGAAGAGGTGATTAGATTATAGGACCATGCCGTAGTGAATGGATTAAAAATGGTGGACATGGGCGTGGTCTGGAGGGCTTCAAAGAGGGAGCATGAAGAGTGTGTCTGTCTGTCTCTGCTCTCTCTGCTTCCACCATTTTTGCAATGTGATGCCCTGCTCTCACTGTTGTCACCACCAAGGCCTTCACCAGCTGTGTTCCCTGGACTTTGGACTTCCCAGCCTCAGAAACTGTAAGCAATAAATTTTGTTTTCTTTACAAATCACCCAGTTCTGTGTATTTTGTTATAAGCAACAGAACCGGACTAATACAGATCTCAGTTTTGCTCTGGCATTCCCTATCAATAGCAGCTGCTCAACTACAGATTTGTTATGTTTTACCTAAAAGCCCTGAATATCTTCCCCTCCACACTCTAAGGAAGGTTTAAGAGAAGGTGATTTTTAACTTAGGCTTAAAAAGGGTGGTTTACTTCCAGCATGGAGAAAGTAATAGTCACTGATTTTACAGGATGTTAGCATTTACCATTCTGTCCAAGGCCCAACTCTGAGAAACACTGCTCTAGTCCCAGCCTCTCATCTGGCCAGACAGTCCATTGAGGGTAAGCTCCCTGCTGAAGGTCGTGCAATTGTCAAAAGTTAAGGAGTCTTATCGATGCCAGCTCTTCCTAAGGCACAGCTTCATCAAAGCAGGGGCCAAAGCTAGACAGGAAGTCCCTTGCTCTTCTCCTTTCTTTTGCCTTCACCCAAAACTTATGGCCACATACCCTCCCTCCAACCCTGTGCTTCCTGCTAGCATTTACTGAGCATTTACCAAGTCGTGTGCTTCACACAAATTAGCTCTTCTAATCCCAGTGCCTAGCACAGTGCTTGGCTCACAACATCCACTATGTAACAGTTGTAGAATGAACAATCCCTACTTATTCCAAAAGTATTTTTATGGGTTTTCATGTTCAAGCCCAAGTAGATGTGAAATCAGGAACAATTACTCTAGGTCATAAGGTCTGAAGCTGCTCTTTAAGAGCCTGTGTCCACAGAGGCAGGCACATGCCAGTGTGGCTGGTAACCCAGGGCAGTTCCCCAACATGACAGCACTGAAGACTCACGTGTACCCCACCAGCATCTTACCGATAAGAACTGAGAAGAAGAACTGCACAATGGGGATGTTCAGAATCGGGGCCGAGAGGTTCAAGAACCAGTTTGGTGTCATGGGGAAAAGTCTCAAAAACAGTAAGAAAAAAAACAAGCTGTTTCTGTTCTCCTCCACCTGTAGCCAAAGAGGACAAGGCCATTAAGAAGCAGAAAGGGTCTCCAGGTATTGAAAACCTGCTGGTGCCAGACACTATTCTAGACACTTTACATATTCTGTTCCCAACTCTTCCAACCACCCTCCAGGGTACAGACTGTTTTCCTCATTTTAAAAACTGAAGTACCTGAGTATCAGAGGTCATGAACTCGCTCAAAGTCACAGAGCTGGTAAAAATGGAGCTGCGATTTGATCCCAGATCTGCGCCTCTTGAAGACATCAAAAGAACCCTGGGACCTCCCAAGACAGGGTGGGGGAGCCCTGTGGGGAATCCCTGCTCCTCACTCCCGTCAGAACCATGAGGTGACTCTCTGCGGGCCCTCCCCTTACCTTCCTCTGCATTAGGGCCACTTTATCAGGAAAGTAGGAGACAACCAGCTGTTTGCCAAAAATACTAGAGAGCAGGTAGCAGCATGTGGCGCCCACCGAAGTCAACACACAGCACAGCAGAAGCCCCAGCCATGGCCCAAACAAAGCACCGGCTAAAACATTCTGAAAAGAAAATAAACCCTCAGCCTGGAGAACATATGGCAGCTACCAGTCACCTCGTCCTGGAGACTGACGGTCATAGGTTCCCTCCTCCTTCAGTGGTTTTCCAGGCCAAAACCTAAATCCCCTTTTAAAAAAGTGATGAAAAGGCTGGGAACTACAAGCCTGGCCTCAGTCTCTTTACTTGTAAGTGATAAGGATTAAAGCCTTAGAGGGAAGGAGAGATTTAAATGGGATAACATGTATACAGCACACAGACCACTGCATGGGATGTGGTAGGTCCTGCGGTCACTGGGGCTCCAAGAAGGTAGTTATTTTCACTATTTCAAAGGATGAACACAAACCATGAGTTTTCCCTCAGTAAGCCCACATGTTGTATAAGATTTCTTGTTTCTTTGCTTTTTGCTGCAATTACATCTATGTAGTATGCTAAAACGGGGGGTTCCATGTTGACCAGACTGCTAGCTAACACTTAGTTTAACAAAAATGGAAAAACGAACCAGTACTTCCTAAATGCAGTTTGGCTGGTAGACATCATGCTGCCAAAACATGTGATCTAGGAAAGAAAGTAAAAGGGGGCCTTGAAAGTGAGAAAGTGGGTATCTGCTGAACTATAAGTCTTGTAATCCTCACTACACCCCTGTGACATATGCTATCCTGACCCCACCCAACAGGTGAGAAATTAAGTATCTTGCCCACAATTACACCAGGCAGAACCAAGAATCACCCCAAATCTGGATGTGGAACCTTCCACTGAGTAGCAGCTGGCTCTCTACCCTGAACAGGGATCAGCTCAAGAGGGAAGACAGATACAGGGGCAGTCCCAAGGAGTCAGCCCCTGACCTCGAGCACCACATACCTCTCCTGCCTCTCTTGGACATGTTTTTCTTCCAGTTTCTAAGAAAGACACCAGCCTAAGCCTGGAGTAGAGGAAAGATGCTGGGGTAGGAGAGAGAAGCAGGACAAAAGGAAGCTTCAGGGGTTTCCTGCTCTGTCACTCAATCATTCAGTAAGTGCTGAGGGCCACTGTATGCCAGCCCTACTACATCTACTGTTTCACTTAATCCTCCCACGCGACAATCCTAGGGGATTACGGAGGAGTATCCACATTTTACAGATAAGAAAACAGGCTTGGAAGGAGGGCAGAACACTGACCAGGAAGCTGGAGCCAGGGATGGCAAAGCCCTGTTTGTAGAGGTAGGCGCTGCAGAAGAGCAGTAACACGTAGGATTGGTGCTCCTTCCGGTACTCTTGAAGGACCTCAGAGAGCTCCCGCAGCTCTGCCAGGTCTGATGGGAACCACAGTGACCTGAGGATTTCGAAAAGCAGACGGAAAACATAAGTACAGATCAGCCTAGTGCCTAAGAAAGTCACTCGATACGTATTCTTTCCAAAGTAGGTTTATAAATATGCCCAACATCTGGTCTGCTGGAAACACACACAGAACGTGAGACCAAGATGACAGGTGACACAATACAACACAGCAGAGGCAGACAGAAGAGTCTTGGTTTGGAAGCAAGAGACCTGAGACCCAACCCTGCTAATTTCCAGTTGTGTGACCTTGGGCTAGCACCTGAACCTTCGTTTCTTTACATAAAAAATGAGAGGTTTGGGTTGGATAATCACTAAGTTCCCCTTCAGCTCTCAGATCGTATGAGCTATTTTTAAGAGGCAAATGGATTCATTTCCTGGCAAGTACTAAACGTCCTAAATCGCTTTTCTTTCAAGTACACCTCCTCCGCCACAAGCCAAGAACAATTCAGACTTCACTCTGCTCCTGAGGTACTAGGTAGAACGACTGTTTTATCATTCACTAACAAGCCACTTAAAGATTCTCTGGAAAAGCGTATCTATTCCAACACCATTAACTTAACTTTCTTGATAATATGTCAGGCTTGAAACCAACTCTTTCAGTTTTTCATCCTGCTCTTAATCTGGTCCTCCGTGCACTCTGAATCCTGTCCAAGGTTTACCGTGCAAAGGCTACTTTGCCTGTGCCATCTGAACAGTCCTTGAAACCGTCAATGAGCAATTATAAGCAAACCCTCCTAGTTCTCGTGAGAGTGCTTCTCTTAGTATGTCTCACATCCACAGCACAGCCTTCTCAGCTAGAGCGAAAGAATATGGTAACTAAAAAGTTTACCTAATATTCAAATGCCAGCAAACCCCTTGACAACGCAGTGCTGTGCAAGGCACATTTGCACGCAATTTGTACATAGTACGCAGTACTCACAAAAACCGGCAGGTAGGTACGGCCTCCTGCCTCGCCCACCCCTTCATTAGAAGGGGAAAGGAGAGACAGCCATTAAGGGGGGCAGACCCAATCATTTAAAGTTATCCGTGCAACAATTCCTCTGAAGATTTAATGTCTTAAAGTCTCAAGGGCAGGTCTGACGGAAGTGGGGTGAGGTGAAGTGAGAAGGAGGTCGGGGGGTTGAGAGCAGACGTGAAGGGGTCTGGGGGTTGGCTAGAATAGGGCTCAGGGCTGGCACTGGCAAGGCGATGCCACCGCGCGAACAGAGGTTCCCAAAAATAAAGCGCCGAGTTTTCCTCCTCAAATCACGATCCCAAAGGCCCCGCGGCGCGCGGCGACAGCACACCCCGAGCAAGCCGCAGTGCACAAGTCCCAGCTAAGGCCAGGCCCGGGATCCCATTCATCCAGCCTGTCCGAGACCGTGCAGGCGCGGGCCGGGATACTAGACCCTGATCTCCAGTTCCGGAACTGAACCTCAAAGCCCGACCCCCGATGCCTCCGATCCGGGAACCCACACCCGGATTCTCAGCCCCCGCCGTCGGACCTGGCTCCCTCCCTCTGACCCGAACATCGATCCCCACCACCCTCGCCACACACCTGCCTCCGGCCTCCTCCGCGGAGCCCAGTCGCGTCCCGCGGGGCAGTCGCGTCGACAGCAAGTACAGGGCGACGGTGCAGCCGGCGAAGACTAGCAGGAGCCAGAACAGCGGGCGCATGACGGCGCCGCACCCCGGCCCGCTGGACCGCCGAGGAGCCTAGTTGCAGTGCCGGGACCTCGCGGCGCTCGGACTGAGACGGCGGAGCGCGTTCGCCGACGGACCGGGGCGGGGTCCGCTTCCAGCCCCGCCCCCGGTTTAGGCCCCGCCTCCAGACCCGGACTCCGCCCTCTGTGCCCCTCGGCAGAGACTCCGGGGGAAAAACTGTCATCCAGTGAGTTTCTTCGTGCGTCTGTCCTCTCTCCGTCTGTCTGTGTATTATTTGCTACGTTTATCCCTGTCTCTTTCTCCACTTAATCTGCAGACATTGAGCGGCACAGTGCCGGCTCTGTGCCAGGGCTGGGAAATCCTGGGGTGAATCATGAGCCCTGCCCACAGCGAGCTGACAGTCTAGTGGTCAAGACAGTCTTGTCCACCACCTGCTGTCACATAAAGTAAATGTAGCCAGTGTAGAATCAGGAGCTCCAATCAAGTGTGGTGGGGCGGTAACAGTGACGACGGAAATAATCAGAATTGCTTTTTTATTCAGCGTCTACTATATTCCCATTCCCTAATCCTCAAAACCATCCTGCAAAATAGGCATTTTTGTCTTTATTTAACAGATGAAAAATCTGAGTCTCAGAAAGATTAAGTGACATCCCCGGAAAGAGAGCTAGGAAAAGAATCCAAGTCAACCTGTGTCCAAAACTAGTGGTTCTTACACTGCGTGGATTCATGTAGGAGGTGGGGTTTGAGTTTACGTTCAAGGATGAGCAAGACTTCCGCAAGCAGAAAAAGGAGACAGTGAGCAGGGGCCACGTAAGGAACCAGAGTGTGGTTTCAGAGAAGCCTAAAGTGTATGAGAAATGGAGAAACTGGGGACAAACTGGAGAGCATTGAAAGGCAGGCTAACGAGTTGGATTTTCAAGTTTTGTTTTGGCTGTGTGTGTGTGTGTGTATAACCAGTACAGGGTTCAAACTGGGCAGCCCAGGAGTTAGATGTTTAATATTGCACAGGGGTAATTCAAAAAGTTCATGGAAAGATTCATATTATTTTTTAAATCTATTTTTCCATGAACTTTTGAAGTACCCTCATATATATTCTGATCTATCTGTCTGTGCAGTCATCAGATAGATGGCTAGGATAAAAATCAAACAAACAAATGGTAGTGTTAGAATATACTATGATTCATTTTTAAGATGAAAAAGATATATGTTTGTTTTAGTCCATTTTGTGTTGCTATAACAGAAATACCTGAGACTGGGTAATTTATAAATTGAGGGCTGGGGGGACAATATCTTCTAGACTTCAGGACAGGTGAGTTTGCTGAGGAATGGTGTCGGGACCACCTGAAAGATGCAATAAGGAATAATTAAAAAAAAAAAAAAAACAAGCCAACTTTTCTTTTTTGCAGGGGGACTGGGAAATATGCAATTGGCCTCCAAAGATAATGGAGACAGTAGTAACAAAAGTGTCTGGGAGAAAAGTCTAAGGCAGAGATTAGGTGCCCTTGTGAAAATGGGCCACGGCTAGGGTGGAGGGGGTCTTTACGCACAGCTGAACATGGTTCCATAGGGCTCAGGAGATAATAGAGAGTGTTCATTTAATAAATATGTCCTGAACTCAGACTATGTCGTAGGGACATGGCCTCTGCCATGTGAAACAGCCTAGTGGAGAAAACACACTGATTAAATGGTCACACAAACATAAAAGAAATACAACTTAAAAAGTGCTATGAAGGACAGGTACAGTGTCCTATATGTGGAAATGAGGTCCAAGAAGACTCCCTGAACAAGTGGCAATTGAGCTATTATCCAAAGGATGAGTAGGAGATAACTGGTGAAGAGGGAGGGAAGAGGGTAGACTGTCACTCAATTGTGTCTTAGATTTGGGATTCAGATACACCAACAAAGAGAAGGAAGGAGACGCAAATTTAACAAGAGACAGAGTCAATAGTTCCAGAGGCCTTGGGAGAAAGATTTTCAGAAGAGTGGCCATGTCTGTAACTTCCTTCATATCTCCTGATTACTGTTATATGCAACTTATTGAAATTCATCTCTGCCCCAGGGAACAACCTTCCTCCCTTCCTTTATTCATTCACTTATCCATCCACCCATCCCACAATTAACCAGGGCCCACAGTGATCCAGGGGCTGTGCTGAGAGACCCACTGGCCCCAAGAGTTTATAAATTAGTAGAAGTTCTATTCCTGGTACTTTCCTGCTGTTGTTTACACCCTGCTTACCAGGCAAGGGAAAGAGGGTGAAAAAGTGACTGTGCTAATCACAATCAGGACCAATAAAACTCTCAAAAGAAACCAGGGCCTATCAGCACCCTGGTCCCTCTCCCCACAATTGCTGATGAACTGTGGGATGAAGGAGGAAGGATGGGGAGCTGTCCAAGCGGGCAGGAGCGTCACTGAGCCTTATTCCACTCCATGCTCAGTCACCCCTCACACAAAATAGACTCTGCATTTGATACATATGTAAATCTGTAAGAAGATATGCCACACAGGAATATATTTACAGATTTCTATAATTTATGAAGTAGAGAACTCATCTTTTTACAAGGGCTATTTTCACAAAAAGCAGTAGAAGAGAAATCTCTTGGATGAGGAACAGGTTACCAGGCCTGTGGCATGCAGGAATCCCAGAAACCTTCTCGCAGTGGCCACCGCTGTGGTGTGGTCCATGCACACCCTCATACTGGGCCTCTGGCCCCACGGGTTGTCCTTCCTTTGTTCCAGCCTCTCAGGCCTTGGCTCTTCAGGCCTCTGGACTTGGCTGCTGCTGTTGTTCCAAATTCACAGATCACACCGACCTCCAGGGAAGCCTAAGAATCTCTCAAACTGGAGGCTTCAGATGCTCCAAGAGCATACTGTTTTATGCTTTGAATTCACATTTACAAAGCAGGTCATAGCATCATTCCAAAACATTAATATTAATTACCTCTAATGGGCAATTATAGATAGTATTTTTTTTTCATTTGGCATCTATGTATTTTCTAAATTTCCTTCAATAATCATGGATTACATTGGTAATAATGAAAAATAAACATTTCTTAAGAATTTCTTAAGATGAGGGTTACTTGTAAAGTGATCGTTCTCCACTGTAGGTGAAAAACAAGCTCTGTTTTTTCCTCTGCGGCCTCTTGCTTTGCTCCAGTCACCATGCCGTGAGGCTGCCCTGCTGCTTCCTCTGCCCTTCTTCCCTCATCTGCTTACTCCATATCTAGTGCCAGCAGCTGCCCTTGGGCCATCAGTCCTGCCCAACCTCCTCCATGCACCAGCACCACTATAGAGAAGGCAGGAAGCCAGCAGTGTGGCTTTCTTGCCCTCCAGAGCCCTCAGGAGAGAAGCTGGTATTGATAAGGAAAGGCTCTCTTACTGCACATTAGATAAGCCATATCAATTTAAATAAAAGCATATTCACATTTATCAAACATCTCACAGATGTGGCATCCATAGGACTTCAAAACACCCTTCATAGACTCGCCTCCCAAACCCACACAACAGCCGCCTGAGGTAGGTCAGTTTCATTCCCTCCTACATGAGGGGGACTGAAGGAATTTGGCACAGAAAATGGGGAATCCAAAGTGAGGTCTCCAGTCATCCTTCCCTGTAAGACGCTTGACCCTCAGCCTGATGGGCAGCAGAGTCGACAGGTTGGAACAAACGAGGCCCCAGGACGCAGCCAGACAAAGCAGTGGCTGCCGGGAGCTGGGCTATTTCTGACTTGCCCTAGTTAGGGGCTCCCTTCCCCAGGATCGTTTTATAATCACAAGGTCGTTTGATGTTTTGCAATGTGACATCTGTGCACTACTGAAAAAAACCTTGCGTCTTTGTACTTTTTGTGTCTTGAGGAAAAGATGATGTGAAGCTTTAAAAAGCCTGTAGTTGTAGCTTTCTTGACATTGCTGGTGCCCACGTGTCCTGGCAACAGTTACATCTGCAGCTTTGGGCAAAGAATTGGTTCAAAGACTGTTTCAACGTTTTCCATCAGGACAAGATCATACCGACACAACTGGGGCCTGGGAAAACATGACAAAATATCCTTGTCAATAAAATAACAGAAATACCACACTCTAGGAAAGTAAATGGTATTATACCCTTAGGATATAAAACTATTTAGCAATTATTTCTAATTATATAAGAAAATGCTTATGGTAAGTAAGTAAAACAACAAGAGAGCAGGATGTGAAATTTTACTTACCACACAACTTCAACTAGGTTTAAAAAACAACAATAGAAAGAAGTTTAAAAAGAAATAACACAAAATATTAACAGTGGTTGCCTCTGAATAATGACATTACAGGTGACATTTTTCTGCTTCCTAACACTTTCCGTACCTTTCAGATTTTCTAAAATGAACATGTATTCCTTTGATAATCATGAAAAAAAGTGTTTAAAAATCCCACAGTTTTAACATATAAGACTATTCTCTTAAAAGAAACTCATATTATTAAATATTTCAGCATACGCTAAACCTTCAAGAAAAAGGAATTCATAAACAAAGTACTAACTGCTCACATCATTTCCTGTCTCTCTCTGTCCACAGATTAGATGCTAGGACTACATGGCAGAGTGGCATTTGTCATAAAACATACATATCTGCACAGCTTTGTACTTTTAAAAAAAGTCTTTCTCTTCCCTCTCTCTCCCTTTCTCTCTTTCTCCACACATGTATACGTATTATTTTTTTGGACTAATTGAGAATTGATTATTTACTCCTTAATACTTCAGTGTGTATTTCCTAAGAACAAGTACATTTCAGTGCAGTTATAAAATTTAAGAAATTTAACATTGATATAATACTTTTATACTGTCGATGGAAGAAAATATTCCAATTTTTCTGTACCTTTTTTTATACTAGGCTCTGCTTTATCAGTTTTCCAAATTATAGAAAGCTTTCTTTTCTACAACACATTATCAACTTGTAAGCACTGTGGGTGGTTAGGGAGGAATTATATAACTAAGCGTATAATAACATTGTTTCCTTGGATTACTGGGCCATCTATCTTTAAGCTCACACCAGTATAATTTTCTTGGATTACTGGGCTACTTGTTTTTAATCAAGACTGTTTTTGGAAAACCCCCACTTCCCTCATTGTGGAGGATGGAGTCCCATTAAAACACCAGACCAAGCAGATTGGACAGGATCAAACAACATCTTTGGAAAATGGGCTTGTCAAACCCTGCCTTCGGCTCACCTCTCTGGATGGGCAAGGGACCTTAACTTCATTCGGAGAATCCTGAGTTTGTATTTCGGGCCTATTACAGATCCTGTAGAGAACACCAAGGAAATTGCTGTCACTTTATCTAGATCTTGATTAAATCTTGCAAGCAGACTCACTTGGTGATATTTCTGGAATGTAGCAGGTTCACTGAAAAGAAGAAATATTTTTACATGCAGCCTACAAATCATTGGTAAGCACATGACCACTTCACCCCATAGCCTGCACTAGCTGACTTTTGTTGACAAAACCTGCTGATTCCAAAGGACTGCATAAGTGAAGCTGCCAGCCCTAAAATGACGTTTGGGAGGTATGCTGCTAATAACCACCTACTATACTCCAGACTGTGTCCTCGACTCTTGACACCTGTCTCCAATCCCCTGAGACATTCTGCAAGGTGAGTACTGTTCTTATTTTACAGACAGGGAAACTTATGCCTGCAGAGCTTGAGCTGCCCAGGTGACAGGGCTTAAGTATAGCACTGCAGGGATTCAAACCCAGCTGTGGCTGAGTTCAAAATTATGGACTTTCCATTAAATTGCATTGCTAGATGTGTATATATATTTTTAGACAAACTAGATTCTAATTGAGAAGTTGTGCATAAGCACATATTTTTTCAGTCCTCCATCTCAAGATGAACCTTAAAATAGCTAAATCTAGGTCCCAATACTGTTTTTCAAGTGTGTGGATGATGCTTTCTACAGTTAGAATCCCAAATTGAGCCTACAGTATATCACTGGGGAGATTCAGCTCAGTCACTGTCCCTCTGAGGAGCTTGGAGAGGTGGCCATGGAGGACTCAGGAACAGTGGGCTTGCTGTAGGCATGAATCCTGGCTTTGGGGGTGGGGTGGATGTGAAGAGATGTCTGTCACTCCAATCCCACTGGAATCATGTCTAAGTCCCGTGGAGTGCAGAAGTACCACAAGTAAAACTAATCTGAAAGGTGCCCAGATTTTGGTTTCTAAATACCATCTCCACTAAAAGGACCACAGCTCCCTGGAGGAATGGTTGGTTCCAGGGTTGGGGCAGGGAAAATACAAAGAGATCCTGGAACAATCTGTGTGCCAGAAAGTAAGGAAGTACTTCAAAGAGTGATAGAAATGTTTAAAAGGACACAGAATCACCCCACACCCATTAGGATGGCTACTGTCGAAATAACAGAAAATAACAAGTATTGGTGACGGTGTGAAGAAACTGGAAACCTTGTGTACTGTCCGCAGAATTACAAAATGGTGCAACCACTATGGAGAACAGTGTGGTGGTGTCTCAAAAACTTAACACTAGAATTACTATATGACCTAGCAATCCCACTCCTGGATAAATGTCTATCAAAAAAAAAAAAGGCAAAGAACAATAATTAGAGAAAAAGGGCTGGCTGGTTAGCGCAGTTGGTTAGAGCATGATGCTAATAACATCAAGGTCCAGGGTTCAACCCCTGTGCCGGCCAGCCGCCAAAAAAAAGGGGGGGTGAGGGGAAGAACTGAAAGCAGAGTCTCAAAAGGATATCTGCACACCCAAGTTTACAGCAGCGCATTCACAATAGCCAAGAGGTGGAAGCAACCCAAGTGTCCATCAATAGACTAATAGATAAAACACGGTATACACATACAATAGAATACTATTCAGCATTAAAAATGAAGGAAATCCTGTCATGTGCTACAACATGGATGAACCTTGGGGATGTTATGCTAAGTGAAATAAGCCAGTCACAAAAAGACAAATACTATATAATTCTACTTATATGAGATATCTAACATGGTCAAACTCATAGAAAGCAGAATGGTGTTTTACTAAGGGATGGGGAGAGGGGAGGAAAGGGAGCTGTTTGATAAATATAGAATTGCAATTTTGCAAGATGAAGTTCTGGTGATCTCTTTTACAACACCAAGGTCTAAAGGTTCAGATCCCCATACTGGCCAGCTACCAAAAATAAATAAATAAAAGTAATAGATAAAAAAGTAGTAATTAACTATTTTTAAACTTAGAATATATATATATACACAACCATTAGAAAATTGAAAAGAATGGAGAAGCTAGAAAAAAGGACTCATATTCCCACAACCCAAAGGGCAATGTGGCATTTTACCATGATTCTTTTAAATTTTTTTTACATCGTTGAGCTAATTTTATACATTATATAATTTGATATCCTATATTTTTCACTTAGCGTACTAAGGCATTCCATTTAATATGTTTCATAAATAACTTCAATGTATAAATAATATTCTATTACATGGGAATATTTAAATTAACCATTTTCCCATTATTGGATTTTTAGGGTATTTCTGATTTTTACTGCAAATTACATTTTGTGGGTTTCTGAAGCATATATACACTATATACACATATGTGTGTATGTTATATATGTTTATAGGTGTATATTTATGAGCTCATAAAAAAATAGAAACTGTGTAGGTGGGTGCCTTTTGCCTTTGAGGGTAGGATTGTCAGGATGGGGAAAGGACTTGTACTTTTACATTGCATTTAAAAAAAATTTTTTATGAATATTAGTTTTTTTTTTTTTTTCCTTTTTGTCTTTTTTACTGACCAGTAACGGGATCGCAACCCTCGGTGTTGCGCCCACACCGCGCTCAGCCAGTGAGCGGGAACTGGTCTCCACATGGGATCCGAACCCTAGGCGGGAGCGCCTCTGCGCTTCCAGGCAGCGCGCTCTCCAGTGCGCCACCGGGCCGGCCCTGAATATTAGTTTTGATTGACAAATCATAATTGTATACATTTATGGGGTATGTGGTATTTTGATATATGCATACAACGTGGAATGATTAAGTAAGCATATTTCTTTGTTGTTAAATCCTTCACAGCAAGCAAGGATGACTTTTGTAATTAAATGTTTAGTCAAAGGATGTAAGAAGGATAGGAAGGAAGGGAAGGGAGAAAGGAGGGGGGAGAGGGAGAAAAGGAGGGAGGAAGGAAGGAAGGGAGAGAAGGAAAGAAAATGCTTGCATTGATGCCGTTTGTGAAGAGCCTGGGGAGAACAAGAGCCAGGGGAAGCAGCTTAGCAGAATGTCCCCTTACATCTCTTGTGGAAAAGGACAGACCTATAAATAAGAAAGTAGGTGTGTTTGGGATTTAATTTCTCTGATTGAAAAAGGGAAATAGCAACCTGCAAACTATTGCAACTCAACTTACTGGTTGATTTTGGATTCCGTGGTGTTTCCAGCTTTGTCTCTCAACTTGATTGTAATGGACCCTCTTCTTATGTTCTTGTTCCAAGTTATAATATCCACAAAGTAATGATACACTGCAATCAGGGAGAGAACAGGGTGAGAGAGAGGTACTCTCAACTGCTCCCCTGCAGGCGTGATTCCTAAAATCCCAACCTTCCTGATAACTGAGTCTCCTTTTCTCTTCCTCTAGAGTTTCTCTGCAAAGATCCAGGGCAGAATTTTCTAATATTCCTTCTTTTCTCTTTGGGAAAGACGGCATGAGTGACAGCAGAGTTCAGTGGTATCCAGTCGCCATGTGCAGGCATCACAGTGGAATCAGTGTTCCCACCTTATTGACTGAAGTCCACTTCTACTACTGCTGAGTATGACTGGTTCATTTCATTTCCTGCCCATTTTAGAATAAACCAACTGCGCGGCCACTTGGAGACCCTCCATGGCTGACAAGGTCTTCCACAATTTGGGCCATGTCCACCAGCCTACCCAGTCCCCCTCATCTCTTTCTCAGTCATGCCAAACCACCTGCGGTCCCTGCACTGCCGAGCCCTCTCCTGCTCCTGCGCCTTCTTCCACCTGGACACTCCCACTCTGCCCACTTTGTGAACTATCCTTCAGGTTTCAGCGTAATATCATTTGCTCCAGGAGGCCTTCCCTGACCCTCGGCCTAAGTCAGCTCTCCCTTCCTAGAGTTCCTGTCATGCTCTGCACTTCCCCCATCATTACTCAGCACACTTTACTGTATTTACAAAATGCAAGAAAGAATGATAACCAGAAAAGTGGTAAATACGTGGGTACCTCTTTACAAATATTGCCTAAATAATGTCTTTTGGGATTTTAAGAAATAGATGAAACTAAAATATACTACAACAATAAATAGGAAGGGATGATGATTGCTCTATAATCCCAGCAGTAACACCTTATAGGCACCCGATAAATGCCTGTTGGAAAAATGAGAACACGTGATATGTTCAGAGAACTATTCTTCCTCATTCTTTGCTCTCCAATGTCAAATATATTTGGGGAAGATGGGTATCACCTACATGATAGATTCGCTATCTTAAGCCGGTGAGTTAGCTCACTTGGTTAGAGTGTGAAGCTGATAACACCAAGGTCAAGAGTTCAGATCCCCATATAGCTAGCCGCCAAAAATAAAAGGTCAGATTTGCTATCCCTTGGTCAGACTTGCAGAGAAAGGGAAAGAGGCCCAGGGAGATGATAATCTCATGAAAGAATGTCAGCCCTGGAGTTGCATTTCATGGCCCATTATTGCTCAGGGGCTTGCCCCATACAGACCAAGCAAATGTCAAATCCTGGGCTGCCACACATGGCTCCAAAGGAAGAGGGAAACCCAGTGATCTGCAACCTCTTTTGAAAGAGTTACTCCCAAGAAAAGTGAAAAGGGGTACGAGATTTCAAGAAAAACAGACATCTGCCTAGGCAAATCCTAGTTGCTTCCCAGGGCATCTAATCATCTGCTGTCCTATTTAGCTCCCATCTGGAATATTCATCCTCTTGATGTCTTTAGGTCATCGTGGTTGATTTAGAGCTGGAACTGACCCATAGATATGGCTGACAGTTGATTTTTTCTAGCCCAACTTCATGTCTCTTGAGGAATCAAGCAATTTTCTGGAGGATCTTAGTGATTAGAATTCCATTCAGTAAAGCTAGCAACTCTGATTTATTGAGATTTTAATCCTAATAACCCAGGAGATACATATTGTTATCCCTATTTTACCAATCAGAATAATGAGACTCCGAGAGGTTAAATGACTTGACCAAGGTCACACAGCTATTATGTGATAGAATCAGGATTCAAGCTCAACCCTTCCAGCTCGAGTTCATGCTTCACCACGGCCCTCGGCTCTCGTTTGCTGAGAAGTAGCCAGGAAGCTGAGACTCAGCCATGCCCAAAATAAAAGGTTTGGGCAAAAGTAAACAACCACATCCACCACTCACGGCAAAATGGTTTCTCCTCAGCTGTGTCAAAGAATGCCTTAGTCATTGGAGGCTCTTTCTGCTTTAAATAGTCTTTCCAATTATCAGCATAATAGCCTACAAAACAAATTGGAAAAGTGTAACGTTAGATGTATTACATAAATGTAACAGCAATCGATGCAGCAAGAACAGTGAGTTTGACTGCATCCACCACCGAGACAAACTCCCTCCCACCCACGCCACCCCTGCCCCCCACGGTGAGGACCCGCAGGGCCACTAGGGCAGTGTCTCCCCAGTGCCCACCCATCTTTCTGGCTAACCCCATCTCTAAGAGCTGGGGTACAAAAGGACCCTACAGTGGCTTTTCCCCCTTTACTGGTTCTCAGTAGCAGGGTAGGGGAGTGGGGAGTAGCACACACTGGTGTGGACTAAAAACAGTACTGATGTTTTTCAGTAATACATTCATTTTCTAGATTAAAATAGATTCAGGTTTATACCTAAAATAGCATCACTCTTGCAAAGCAATATGCTTTCTTGAAGAACGACAGCTGGGTCCCTAAATTGCACAGAACCTGGGCTTGCCATGTAATCATGTCACCAAGCAGGTGAGTGTCCTTCACATCTGTGCCTGCAGGAGACAAGGGTGAATGCTGTTCAGAGGGTCCTCTTTCTCTCCTCTGTCCCACACTCAAAGAATGGGCTCCACATTCTGACTTCATTGATTTGCGGTGGTACCCAGGCATCAGTATTTTTTTTAAACTCCCTAAGTGATTCTAATGCACAAGGCTGGTTGACCCCGTGTCTATAACATGCCCTGCGGTTAACCTTGGAAAACTTAGAAAACTTTCATGGCCATCCAGTTTCAAAGTCCTAACCACCTAGAATATTTCTACTAACCCCTATCAAATATCCTAGCAGCCTCCACAGTTTCTACTACTCCACCCCACTCCCTGGCCAAGCACACAAGAGCTGGAGTGCGGAGGCAGGGTGTGTACAGACTCCACCTGTTGGAAGGGATCACTCTGCAAGTCTCATTTGGCGGAAGGGTCTCTGGGCTCACTGTGGACCCTCCCCCAGCAGAGAGGCTGTGTGCACAAAAGGGGTGTTCCTGTCCTCACAGGAGCAGATTATGTAACGTGACTGTACCCTGGGTAGGCGTGGAAACTCTTCTAGGACCTTCTTTTCTATGCTAGAATAGAGTGTCCAGGGAGGTACATGCTACCTTCTATATGGAATCCTGTACAGATTGCTTTTCTAACACTGTAAGAAAAGTTATTTTGGGGGGATATTGTTATTATTAGGAGACTAAAGTAGTTCAAAGAACAAATTGGCTAGAAAAAGCTAACCAGAAAAAAATTGTTTTAAATACAACTTTCAAGCCCATTTTTAGATGATAAAATGGTTCTGGGATTCATACCAAAAATTAGGTCTTTGACTTACCCAGACGGGGACAGGACTCTTTTTGAGGGGTTCCACAGTTGACACACTTGCCATTCCTATAATCCCGGTAGGAGTCACAGGGATATGCAGTGATGGAACAGTTCTCTCTCAGGGAGGAAAGGTACAGGTACACGGACCTCTGGTGGTCACATTTAAAATACTGCAGTCCTTGGTTGTAGAAGAAATGAGTAAAGAGTAAGCAGTCGAAGCATTTAATATCGGTACGTCACAAATTTTATACACACACACACATACACACACTTTATCATCTGTCTCCTGTATGCCAGGCACTGTGCTAACAGCTTCAGGGTACTCGATTCCATTTAATCCTTATAAAAACCCATCCATGAGGATTCATGCTGCCAAGTGGCAGGAGAAAAGATTAAATCAAATTAAGGTTGTGGCAAGAATTCAAGCAAATATGCTTTAATTAAAGACCTTGATTGCTCATTTAGCAACTCAGGTATCTTTCACTGCCATCCAGTGGTTGGTCCATAAATTATCTGCATTGTAATCATGCTTGTTAAAATACAGAGTTCAGGTCCACCCTCCTATAGTTCTAATTCAGAGGATGCTCAGGAATCAACATTTTAACAAACACCGCCTTCTGACCCCCATGTGATTCTGAAGCATATCAAAGTTTGAAAGCCCCTGGTCTAATTTCACTGGGATTAGGGCTGGTGTGTTGGCTCAGCTGGTTAGAGCACCGCCTGTAACACCAAGGTCAAGGGTTTGGATCCCCCATACTGGCCAGCCGCCAAAAAAACCCAACTAATTTTGCTGGGCTACTTCACAGACAAAGCAAATGCTGTGTCTGCTTGTGAGGTTGGTTGACAGTGTCTGGGTCAAATGGTTGACCTTCCCTGGGTCATGGAGAATCAGGAATCAGGGGAGATTACCAAAATCGTTAATCACAAGAGCAAATCATCAACTAGGACTTAACTCCTCTTTATTATGCTCTTTTAAATGATATATTACTTAGAGGGAAATTGAAAGAAACACAACGGGTTTCAATCATGTACCTTTCTCACTAACCTGCCGTATTTATTATGGGAATTTTCAAACAGGCACAAAAATTGAGAATGATATAAGGAGTGCTCATGTGCATATCATCCTCACTCCAATAATTATCAATATTCTACTAGTCTTATTTCACCTACCCCCAGCTTTGCAGCTTTTAAAAAATAATCTTTCATTGTTAAATATCACCATTAGATCTAATCAAGTACTGTCTTCTATCTTGCACAGAATAACTTTAATTCTGCTTCTCTCAAAATAAGGACTTTGTCAATTTTGTCCACTGCTGTAGCTCCAGATCCTAGAACAGCGCCAGGCACATGTCAGATTACTGATAAGCATTTGTGGATGAACAAATAAATGCAACCTCTAGCAGGTTCTGCTGTGTGCTTGCTGAAAGCCTCTGCCTTATTTCTGCTTAAGGCCTTAACTAGAACTCTGGTTGTTACGTGCTTCCTCAATCTGTTACTATTCAGCATTACTAATCCCAATGACTGTGAACAGTCAAGAACAAGAGAGTAGCTCTGACTACTGCCACAGATTTCATTCATTTCAAAAACTACAGGGCCTGGCACTGAACAGAGCCAGGCAGGAAACCTAGGGAGACATGAGGAACAATTGCTAGATGTTGGGAGTCGTTAGAAAATACAAATGCTCAGTGATACTCAAATGCCATTTCTGGACTGGTGCTGGGCTACGACAACATTTTTCACCAGTTGCAGCAGAGTGGGAAAAACATGGATGCGGTAGTGCACATTTCATTAAGCTAAGTGCATTCAGTGTAAAGCTCAGCCTGTTCTGGGTTTATGTCCTTTCTTTTCTGTGAGCGTGTGTGTTAAAATGTCCTTTATTTTATGAAATGATGGTAATAATAGAAGTATTTTTGTGATATAAAAGAATTGTCCTTTCTTTCAAATTATGTATCCCCAATTTTTTAAATGTTTTAAAACCAGAAATCTATAAATTTTATAACTACTGGAGTAGACCAGCCAGAAACACTATTGTGGATAGTAACATCCTATGTACCAGGTACTTTATTGAACATATTGCTAATCCTTGCAAGGTAGGTGGTATTAGCCTCATGATACAGATGAGAAAACTGAGGCACAGAGACCCTGAGGTCCCATGCTAATAAGTGGCAAAGCAAGGACTTTAAACCCAGGTCTATGTGGTTATAAAACCTGTATTTGTTGCTCTGCTACTTAAATTCTCAAAATATTGTCTCCAGACCAGCATCATTAGCATTACCTGGGAACTTGGAAACTTGTTAGAAATGCAAATTATAGGGCCGCCCCTAAGCGGGAGACAGGGGGATGGTGGTATCAGCAATCTGTGTTTTAACAAGCCTTCCATGCAATTCTGATGCATCCCAGAGTTTGAGAACCATGGCTGTGCTGCAGAAGGGAAACTGATGGGAGCGTGTGTATGGTGGTGGGTGGTGAGGGGTGCGACTGGGGTGGGGATAGCACACAGCCTTGAGTCTTAATCAAGGACCAAACCTAAGCTTTACTAAGAAGCAGCAGTTCTTAGTAACACATTAACTGGACCACAGGCTGAATTCATCTTGTAACTTGTCAGAAGCCCACCAGCAGGTGTGTTGTGTACAATGACTCTGCATAGTGAGCCTGCAATGGTCTCCACATATTGAGGGTTAAGGAACTAGGATCAGCTAATGTAAAATGTCTGAAGAAACTCATAATTCTCTAAGGAGGAAGACCACATAAGAGAAAAAGATGTGCCTGGGCTACAAATCCTCCCATAAGCATCTCCTCCCTGGAATTGTCCTCAGGTGTTAAGTGGGCACCGAGGGGAGGAGTCACATGAACGTATGTCACTCTGGGAGTGAGGACCCTGTAAATGAGCGTGGACTGTTGGGTGGAGTCCCATGTATATGTGGTCAGTTAGAATTTGTGTCAATTCCTCCTTCCCATTCTCAGGGTGAAATCTGAAGTCAGAAAAGTAGATAAAATACTTAAGGAAGAAAGGAGTGTGAGGAGAAAATCAGAAGACCTGTGACTCAGCTGAGGTGTTGTTATGTTTGGAGGGCCCTCGAAGGAAAAGGGACCATTGAAAAACTAGTCAGAGAGCATCACCTGATGTCATAGGAGGTGAAGACGGAAGAATTTTCAGAAGGAGAGTATGCACAGTGGAACCTGAAGCTGGAGCTTCTGGAAGACTGGAACCAAGAAAAGGACTCTAGGCTCAGCCATCTGGTAGTTGGGAGGCTGCTGGTGAACTTAAAAATAATTGCTCCAGCTAATGGGGTGGGTAGAAACTAGGGAAGAGCAGGTGAGCAGGATGGACGGTAAGGAGACGGCAGCAGAAATGAAGACCCTCATTGGATGGGGTTTGGAAAAGGAGGAGAAAAATTCAATGATCTTCAGAGATTCCCTAGAGGCTTTCAGCAGAATGCAAGTATGTTTAAGGCAGAGGAACAGGCCATTGAAGAGGGACAAGTGAAGACATCAGAGAAAGAACTCATCAGGGAGTATTTGGCAGAGAAAGATCCCTAGGGAGGGCAAGTAGGTGAGACAGCTTTGAAAAAGGATGGGGCATGCCTCTACCCCAGGTCAGGAGGGAACATGACTATGAAGACCGACCTCATGAACTAAGATGAAGAGAGACAAAACAGCTCTCTTAGGTGGGACCTTGATCTAGCACAAAAGTCAAACCTAGCTCAACTCTATGAAGTGAGAGAGATATTTGGGACAGAAGCACAAGTGGTCATAGGGAGTCAGAAAGAAATGAATGGGATTCTCTGACATTATTGAGGGCTATGGAGACATTAGGAAGTTAGGCTGGACCTGACACTCAACAAGGCTTCGTGACTTCTCCAGCAATGTTCCCACCAAAGGTGGGACTGACATGGCAGGGACCTAAGGGTCTGAGGGTACGCAGAGCATTCCTGATAGCAGTCAAGTGGCAAGAGCCCCATTTCTGCTACAAGGGTGAAGTGAGAGGGGCTGAACAACAGGAGTGGCACTGGAAGTCATGAATGGGCAAGAAGAAGTGAGAGGCAAGCCTCAAAAAGGTAATACTTAGTAGGTGCCATGTGGTGTGATGGTGCCATGTGGTGAGGCTGATGAAGCCTAAAATGGGTGTTGAAAGGAGACCTGCAGCACAGAGGTTGTCAGCAGGTTGATGGATCAGACACTGAGGTCATTCAAAAAAGGGAACTGGGCTCCCTCCCACAACCAGGCACACCGCCAGCACCAAGGAGCATGCCAAAAACATCACCTCCATGTGGGTAGCCCACCACAGCCACCACAATAACCATGGCTGCCACAAAAGTGGCTAGATGCCACAACCACCATGCAGATGGTCTGCCAGCCACTGGAGTGCATTGACACAAGGAGAGTCACCAGCAGAGACCAAAGAAAAGAAGAGGATGTCTCTCTCCACAAAGCCCATTCCAGTGTGACAGAAGAAGCATCTGCTCTACAATAATATTGGGGGACCTGAACACATCTCTCAGCATTGGACAGATCATCTAGGCAACCAATCAACAGAGTAACTATAACTCTTTCAGAGGGAGAGAAGAAATCTAGTGTAACTAGAGGGGGGAAGGGGGAGGGAAAGGAGGATGGGGAGAGATTGGACAAGGGGCATAAAGAATAAGTACAATTCGTAACAATATATATGCTAGTAATATTGATTTGATCAACATATGTCAACGCTGAATCCCAAAAATATGTATAATCAATTACGATTCAATAAAAAAAAATTTTTTTTAAATGGGAACTGGGTTCTAAAGATGGTTAATCAATGGAGGTAAGGATCTGAACAGGAAGCCCCATGAAAAGAGGAGCTGTGATTGTGAGCTAGTGGTTTGGAGAGGCTTTGGGTGCTGGAATCAGAATAACATTTCCTCTTCCTCCAGAGTCCACTAGTGCCCATAGAAGAGATCGGTAAAGGGCAAAGAGTACAGTATTGTTGACCCTACTTATGCCACTTCAGCCACATCATTTTCAAGCACTATGTCATCCCCCTGGGACCATGTACAGCTACCATTCATTTTTCTCCTATAATTATTTCCATGGTTGTTTAAAATACAGATTTAGAGCACTTAGGGGTCAGTTTTTATATTCTCTCCCAACACCTCACTTCTACATTGCCCTCAACTCCCCATTTTTGTTTTGTGAGCTGTTTTTCTCATTACAAAAGTAATCTATGCTCATTTGGAAAATACAAACTAATAGGAAACAATGATGCAAAAAGCACCTAAAAGTCCAATATCAAGAGATTACCAGTAATTATTATTTGGAGGACTTATTTATTTATTTATTTGGAAAGGCTGGAATTGCCTTTATTGGAGGTGGACTACTTTTTGTCTTTTTTCCCCATACTTACACATATACAAATGCACATTTAAAGAATAAATTGAGATGACATTGCATAGTTTTGCATCTTATCTTATTGTAAGAATTTTGATTAATCTCTGAAAATACGATTTTTATTTTTATTTTTATTTTTTTCCTTTTTGTCTTTTTTCGTGTCCGGCAACGGATCGCAACCCTCAGTGTCGTGCCCGTACCAGACCGGGACCGGCAACGGGATCGCAACCCTCGGTGTTGCTCCCACACCTCGCTCAGCCAGTGAGCGGGAACCGGTCTGTACGTGGGATCTGAACCCTCGGCAGGAGCGCCACCACACTCCCAAGCGGCGCACTGTAGCAGTGCGCCACCGGGCCGGCCCTGAAAATACGATTTTTAAGAAATAGGAAATAACGAGCAAGAAAACCAACAAAACCAACTCCTTCGTGTGAATGTAGCATAATTCATTTAATAATTTTCCTATATTGGATATTTAGATTATTTCTAAACTTTAGCTATCATAAATAATCCTGTGTTGAACATCTTTGCACTCCAATTATTTTTTATTTATTTATTTATTTATTGTCCTTTTTGAGACCGGCCGCACCGCGCTCAGCCAGTGAGCGCTGTGAGTGCACCGGCCATCCCTATATAGGATCCGAACCCGCGGCGGGAGCGCTGCTGCACTCCCAGCGCCGCACTCTCCCGAGTGCGCCACGGGCTCGGCCCTGCACTCCAATTCTTATCTGCATTCTCTATTATTTCTCTAGGAGAAACTTCCAGATGTGGAATTTCTAGGTCAAAGATCCACCTCTTCTAGAGAGAGAAATAATTCATAGTAGCTTTCAATCATATGGTTATAGTTTTTAAAAGTAGTTAGTATATTTGAATTATAATTTTTAATTTATAATTTATACCAACTCTATCTTCTCAGGAAATTTGTTTTCTATTAAAAAGTACTGCATGTAAAATAATATCAGATTTTTACAATATGCCTTTTCAAACCACTATTTTACAAAATAGAAGGTATCTGCACTTACCTCCAAGTATTGTTTTGGGGCAACCAGGTTGATCCAATCCTCCATTTGGATAGAAGTCGATGTTTCCTAATGGTTCCCTGTAGCCCAGTGCTGAAAGAGAACATGCCGCACTCTCACGCTGCTTTGAACTTTTCACATCTCACAGCTCATTTGCTTGCAGGACATAGTCAGGGATTACATTGTTATTATTATTACTATTATACCCATTTAAAGGTTTTGTCCAAAATTACCCAACCAGTTAGCTAGAAAGCAATAAATTCAAACTAGGTGACTGTGAAGATGGTAATGGAATTTACTTCCAATATTTCTAAAGACGGTAGGAGAGTGTGATCACACATTCACCACAGGGCTGATAAAGTGATACATTTCTTCTTCACATTTGGCTGGAGTCTTCTAATGGCCAGGTGCTTCCTGGGCCTCTATTTGCATTTGTGTACATCTTTAATGAATAAGAAACAGGAAAAAATGAATTTTTATTTAGCAGGCAAAATATTTCAAAATTTGGGATCCAGGATGGTAAAAAGATGAAAAACACTTCAGAAAATGGGCAACTAGGAAATTATAAATAGATTGAATAATTGCTTGTTTTCTTTAACCATATAACCCCAAAGTAATCAGTAAAATGCTCAATTAAAAGATTATTTATACAGAGCTGACCTGTTAGCTCATGGTGTTGTTAACACCAGGATCAAGGATTTATATCCCTGTACTGGCTAGCCGCCAAAAAAAAAGAAAAAAAATGATCTATAAATATGCATAAATATAGTGTGTCATGGTAATAATAAGAAGGATAGTTTTTATTTTTTATGTATTGAGAATCTACATGTGTCTGTGGGCATGATACTAGGTGTTTTACACACTTTTCTCCTAATTTTCACAATGTCTGCAAAGTAGCCATTGGTAAAGTCAGATGAAGTAACTTAGATGTAAATATGGAGGTTCAGAGGACTTATGAAACTAACATGACATCACTAGAAAGAGAAAAAGCTGGGATGTGAGTACAATATCTGCATGACTACAAAGCTTACACTCTTTCCTTCAAAATTCACTTTCCAAGAATAAAAAAATTAATTGCTCTATTCCTTCAAGCATTAAAACAGCATTGAGGTACTGCACTTAAGTAAAGTAATACTTTGCAAACTCCATAGTAAGAATGCAGCTGTTTCACAAAGAGACATTTCTTCCAAGGCACACAATTGCTGAATACCACACCAGAGTCCCCATGATAGGTGGTCAAGGGTTTTTTAAGTGGTTGTTTCACAAAGAGGATGTATGATTAAATGACTGCTCTGCTCTGTTCCCTCCATCCTGCCTGGATTCCTACTCCAGCTCTTCACCTGGACATTTGGATATAGACACCCATCCTTGAATATCACCCACATCCACATAACATGTACCCAATCCCAACTACAAAACCAGCAATGGCCAGGAAGATCTCCAGAGAGCCAGAGAGCTATGGGTGGTCAGAGTCACTCTGTGTGAAGAGACACAACACGTGAACATACCTTTCAGCTTAAGAAAATAATGAGCAAGAACCAACAAAACCAGGAAATCACGCAGCCAAACCAACTGCACATATGGAAACATTTTTTCGTATGGTGCACAAATTGGCCTGTACTTGACTGGGCATGATGATCACTTTAAAAATTAGAAGTGACAATGGGGACTGGCCAGTTAGCTCAGTTTGTTAGAGTGCAGTGTTATAACAACACCACGATCAAGGGTTCAGATCCCTGTTCCAGCCAGCTGCCAAAAAAAAAAAAGTGACAGTGGGAAAATCATTCCCACTCCAACACGAGATCCTGGGTGCCTACATTAGCCCAGCTTCCCTTCACTACTTCTAGGGACTTGGAACCTGCCCAGTAGGAAAAGAGGGAATCTAGAGGAACCTGATCCGCCCCTGCATGATGATCGCCCCAGGGAGAGACTCTTTGGGAGTCTGGGGCGGTCACTGACCCACAAGGACAGGAATGTTACCATCAATGTCGGAATGAATGACATCAACGAACTGCGCATCACTGGGATCTAATCTGTCCTGGGGAGGTCTCCCGTTGAACAAAGGGCCTGCAGGGTCGAGACCTGGAAGAAAAACAGAGTCACTTGGCAGCCCCACGCCATGACTCACCTGCAGCCGGGCCTTTGATCCTTCCCCAGGAGGATGGTTCACAGGCTGCAGGGCACCCTCGGGTGGGCGAGCACTAATATTCCCAGCCTGCATTGTCAGGACTCCTTTCCACAGCCCTAAAGCTTTTTCCCACAGTGGAGATGGTTACCCTGGCAGTGCCGCTGAGAACGGCATGCCAACTCCATCAGGAGCCGTATCTCATGCAGAGCTCAGCAGCAGGGAACGCACACACATGTGGGGACCATGGGTAGGCATAAACTGGTTCTTCAAGGAAAAAGCACTGGAGGGTGCATAAAAGAGAAAAGAGTAGATGTGATATTCATCTTTATCCCATTCTAGATGATCCAGAAACCTCCCTCAACTCTTCCTTCTTGTTATTAATAAAACCCTTTTATAGCTTCCATTTTCATTCGTATATACTAGCTCTTTGATCCACATTGCAAAACTGTGAGGGAGGCAGGGTAGCTATTATTCCCATTTTACAGATGAATGAACTGAGGTTCAGGGAGATCAAGTGTCTTAACCAGACACCTCCCTCTCTGTTGAGCTCTCGGTTTCACTGAACTGAGCTTAGCAAGCTCATCAGGAAAAGGCAAAACTCATGGTCAGGCCAGATATCAGGCCAGGTGCCAAAGAAAAAAATAAAGTGGGTGTCAATCCCCGCAGAATTAACCCACTCAATAAATGCCTGAACTGATTTCTTGCCTTTGGTCAATGTTAGCTGTGTGTTCCTCACCATCCCTATGAAACAGCTGTAAAAACAGGGGACCAGCTCCTATGATGTTGTAATACAAAACAAAAACTTTAAACTAAAAAGCAACCAAAAAAACCCAAAAAAACAAAAACCAGAGCTCAAAAAGGCCCTGCTTACTAGAGCCCTACCTGGAGCGAAGGTTTCAAGGGATGTCTTGCTTGAAGTTTTTATCCATGAGTGTCATTTTAGATGACATCTCCCATCCCCCAAAGTTACATAGAAAATCCAAGACAACATCTTTGCCTCAACTTTCCTGGTTCTAGCTTCAGTCTCTCCATTTCTCCTCTCTCAAGGCTCTTTTGCTTTCTTGAGACACGTCTTTGTCTGCCTCTTTCTTTTTTTTCCCCCAGCCTCTCTTCTTTTGTCTACTTCCAACTGAAACTGGTACAGGAGGAGATGGGTCAACACTCAGGCATGCAAGTCCACAGGACAGTCTTAACATGAAAAACTCATAACCTTGGAAAGAATTTGCTGGAGAAGCCTCTCGCTCTTCATATAACAGCACCACTTCCTAAGGAAATTAACATGAAAGCCCCAGTTTATAGCAACCTCCAGATCGATGGTGGATAAAACATCCAAACCAAGACAATTTTAAGAGTCATAGGATGCTATTAATAATTATATCAGGACAAAAAGTCCAAACCGAGACTGCCACAGGCAAACCTGGACTTGTGATTTCCTTAGTAATAAGCCATAGCAAATAGTCTGTTTACAATGTCAGCCAAAAATTATAGTTAAACTGCCCAAAAAGCAGAGACCAGAATACACTGCAGTTCATATTCAAAGTAGTTGTGGGGACAGGTTTGCTGGGATGCTAAGGGGTGAAACTGGGGTGTAGATAGAATAAGGCAGTGGAGGGCTGTAGCCTACTAGCACCCACATTAGAGAGCAGAGTTTGCTAATCTCTTCCCAAACTCTGTGGTCAGTGATAGCTGGTAGCTTGAGAACAGCCACGGTGGGAGTATTGACACAAGGAAATCAGCAAATGCTACACATCACGGCTTTTTCTTTTTTTCTTTTTAAGTAGCTGGTTGATTTCCAAGCACACCACTAGGAAAAGTTCTACCCTCCAGAAGAGGAACTCCCAACAGATAAGGGACACAGACAAATTCAAGCCATCTGTCCTTTCTACACATGAGAGAAAATAAAAATTTTAAAAAGTAAAGGCACACTGATTTCTAAAACATAATAATAATATTAATAAAATTGTTAGAATTAAAAAGAGCTTTGCTTCCCTAGAAAAGCAGGTAAATGAGGGTTGGTGGGGCTGGCTGGTTAGCTCCCTCAGGAGAGCATGGTGCTGATAATGCCAAGGCCAAGGGTTCAGATCCCTTTACTAGCCAGCTGCTAGAAAAAGAAAAAAGAAAGAAAGAAAGAAAAGCAAGATAAGAGTGGCATTTGCCTTTGGGGTGTAAGTAAGAAAAAAATACCCAGGAAAACAATTTGACCTCAAGTACCAGGGCTAGAGGATATGGCAGCCAACGTGCTATGTATGTGTATGCATGTATGTGTGTGTGCATGTGCGTGTGTGTGCATGTGCGTGTGTGTGCATGTGCGTGTGTGTATGAGAGACAGAGACACAAAGAGACAGAGACAGAGGTGACTTGCCCAGGGCTACCTGCCTAGTTTAAGCAGCACATTCAGATTTGCGGCCCTAAAAGGTTATCTCTCAAATGTTGTTGGTTTGAATCATTTACCTCTCCTCTCCCTCCATCCACTTCTACCTTCCCGATTCCCTAGATTTAAAACAGCTTTCTGAGTGTGAGGGTGGATTCTGGGAAAGTGAATGGGAGAGGTCTTGAATCTGGGAAAGAAAGCCACCCTCAGCCCTTCATGTGTAGCAGTGGAAAGTTACTAAGCACTGGGCAAGTGATCCCAGCAAGGGAGTCTTTGTTTTGGGTTTGACTTGCTGCTTTTCTGAGTGTTTTCATTAGTGTTGGACTGAAAGCTGATATGTAGAGGGTAAGCCCCAGCCACGGAAATTCCCAACTCATTTTTCTATCGTGAGACACCAGCTTTCCTAGGGACTGAAGTACATTAGGTATGTAGTTCAAGCTATCCTGGATTAAATGAAAGGAAGAAGCCTATCTGTAAGGTGCACATAGATCAAATACCCATTGGACATAGCTGTTTTTCTAGCCATAAGTGAAATAGTCACCATCAATTTTTTTCTATGGCATGTTCAATTTATAAAGTGCTTTACACATATTTTGATAGATAATAACTTGAGGTCAATATTATTTTGCCCAAGAGGACCCACACTTAGAAAGGTTAAGTAATTGGAAGAGCTGGTTTCAAACCCAAGGACTTGGATTGCCTGCATAACGCTCCCCCAGTGAACATCCTGCCCAGGCCACGACCCCATGCCCCTTCACAGGAGCCTTACCTGTAATTCTCCCCAGCTGTCCCTCGTACATTTCTCCAACAAACCCAGATATGTGGGCTCCTAGACTTACTCCAATCATGTAAATGTTGTAAAGAGAAGCTCCTTCTGCCTGGAATTTCAAGAGGCCCATTGTTATAAATTGTAAGGAGCCAAGGAATTGACATTTGAAGAAATTTCCTAGCTGCTGACTTTGGAGAAATATTTCTAAGAACCTTATATCTATCTCATTTAAATGTTACAATGCCCCTGCAAAGTAAATACTGTTCTTTTGACTACACAGAAGAGGACACTGAGGCCCAGAACTGAAGCCACCTGCCCAGGTCAGGCAGATGGGGAGGGGAAGGGTGGGATTCAAACCAGTCTGTCCAACTCCAACCCTGTGCCTTAACCTTTATGCCATGGTGTCCCCCTTCATGCTTCTGCTAGAAACCAAGCCAAGACATCTTTAAAATCTTACAGACTGGGGAGAGGGGTAACAATACATTTTGATGAACTCCCTTGTCTTCATACTGGTTCCACGGGGAGGGAAGGAAGAAAGGAAAGAGAGTGGGATGAGGGTGGACTACACTGTCCACAGGCTGCTGGGACAGTTTGTCATGAGTCATTTTAACATTCACTTTCCCAGGGCTGTGGCTTAGGTGGGGAGTTCATGTAAAACTCTGGCCACAGTGGCCACCAGGCCTGACTCTCTCTGAAATTGTGCTGATTTTATGTCACTTTTTTGTTTGTTTGTTAAAAGGAGAAATTCATGGTATAGATCAAATACATAAAATTTAAGGGTTAACCTTTGTAAGTCTTCTAAAAACATAAATCATCTCATCAGACCATGTGTCTCAGTTTAGGTTTTGGATAATCTGGTCACTGAACTTTTGGCACTTCTAGCAAAGAACAGCTATCAAAGTTGATGAAGCGCTAGGAGTTTAAACCAGGAAATTTCTAGGCAGAATCTCTTCTTCCCGTAAGACATATTTATGTGAATTAGAAAAAAATGCCCCTTCCTCAAGGCATTTTATCATCATCTGCTGGAAAATTATCATAATAATTATATAAATCTATAACAGTACGATGACAATGATGCTTTCCTGGATATACACAACCTGCACAACCCCACCTATGGGCCTTACATGAAGCCGCTCCCCCCACCTTCCCTGGGACTTACTCAGATTTGCAAAATGTTGCAAAATAGTTCCTTTATTCACTGAAGATATATCTTGGCTTTAAAACCCTAGTTTCAATTTGGCCCTGAATCTTCTAAGAGAATTCTCTCTTACCAGCATCTTGTCGATAAATTCCTTCAAGACTATGGCTACTTTTTTGGTCTTATTAGATGCGTGGGTATATATTACAGTTGTGGCTCCTCGGTTCCAATCAACAACAACCACATTCATGTCTTCTACAGAGAGCAAACTCTCTACTAAGTCCCCCATCCAAACTGGAGGGGAGCCTGTTGGCCTAAATCCATGGACAATGAAGGTGGTTTTCTTGGTCACGTTCAAGTTCCCAAAAGCTGTGGAGTTGATGACTTGTGCGCAGGTCAGGTTTCTCCTTGTGTATAGCATCAACTTCACTTTTAATCCCGTACCAACCACTGCACTGTGAAAGCTCAGTTTGGTGAATGAAGGACATGTTTCATCTGTGTCTGAAAATAAAAATTAGATGGCATCATGACAGTTCTTTCCTTAGCTGGGCATACTCAAGAGTGCTCTCCTGCACTCACCGGAGTCCTTCTTTATGTCCGTTGTAGAACCGGGCAAAGAGCTAAATCTATTTGAGTGAAGTTACAAAGTCAAACTTCATTCCAAGCTCTTAAGTAGTGATCCCTGGTTTCACCAGAAAAACCATTCTTTCAAATCCTACCTTCCTTCAAGGCCTAACCTGGAAGTCACGTCAATGAAGCCTTCTCCAACCCTGCCAGCCATAAGTACTGTCCTTCACTCCAGAACTCCCAAAATGTAAATTATTACCAACACAATGAAAACACTCTGGGATGTATTATGGGTATTTATGTACATGTGTGTCTGTCCCATAGACCACAATCTCCTTCAAATGGTGTTTTATAACCAGTGTACCCTTCACAGTGTCCAGCACATGGCAGAGGACTCAATAACTGACTCTGCATGGTCCGACACCTCTTTCCTTGTCTAGAACACCTGCCTGGGTGGCAGTGGAGAATGTGATATGGCTTGCCTGAGCCTTTCAGTAGCATCTGAAACTGTTGACCACTGTGGCCTCTCTTGGATCCTCTCTTTCTTTGCTCAAGTACCAACTTCAAGCATTTATCTTGCTGAGTAGACTCTAAGGAAGGCCTTACAAGAAAGGTTGGAGATGGGAGAGGAACAGTACATGATGAGCCTGGGGAATCTTGTTACACCAGAAAAACATGTCGCAAGGACACAGGAGAGAGCCTGAAGGGGCTTCTGGTGGCCAAATCTGAGATACTTTTAGCACAAACTAATTAAGGATAGTAATGAATTATAGGCCTTTGGAAAGAAATAGAAATCTATGATTCTATAACAAATAAATAGATAAGGAAAGAAACAAATAAATGGAGAAGAGAGGAATATATATAATGCTGAATGCTGACCGGTAAATATAGAGAGTGTGCTGGAGTTGAACCTCATCATTGTACAGCTATCATAATGGAAGATTAGTTAGCAAGAATCATCTACGGATGCTAAATCGAGGCAGTGGGAGGATTTCAATAAGGAGTGTAATATTTGTATGGTCTTAAAGTGTCTCTCACAGATTGCTTATTAGTAACTAGCGGAAAAATAATAACTATACAGTGGAGAAATTGGACACCACCCCGACTAGGTTAGCAAAGCTAACATCACCAGTGAGGGGCAGACAGACATCATGTGCCTCTAGCCGTAATGCACTGAGAGGAACAAAACATCACCTCTGTAGTATTCCAGTAGGGAATGTATAACTTGAATCTAACCATGAGGAAAAATCAGACAAACACAAAATGAGGAACAGTCTATGAAAAAAAAAGAGAGCCGTATTCTTACAAAAGGTCAGTGTCATAAATGTCATAGAAAAGCTGTAGAAATGTTTTAGATTACAGGAGACTAAGGAAACTGGATAAATAAATGCAACACCTGGTCCTAGACTGCAACCTGCAGTTGAAGAAAAACAATGCTATAAAACAAATTATTGGGTCAGTTGACAAAATTGGGATCCAGACACTAAATTAGATAAAAGTATGGCATCAGTGTTAAATTAATTAAGATAGATAAGTGTACCATGGTTATGTAAGAGAAAATCCTACTTCTTGGAAAATACAACTGAAGTATTTATAGATAAATGCTTATTCCCAAATGGTTCAGGAAAACTATTATGGATGGACAGGTAGATCACAAACGATAAGGCTTAGGTGGCAACATGTTAACAATGGATGAATCTGTGTAAAGGGTTATTGGTGTTCTGTGCACATTTTTTTTTTAACTCTTGTAGCTTTTCTACAAGTATAAAATTATTTCCAAAATAAAAAGCTTAAATAAAAGAAGAAATGGGAGAGGGCTATATCAGTGATAGAAGGGGAGGGAGGCTATGGTTTCTGATACCAGGAAACAAAAGTAGATATTAATGCTTAAGAGTTCTGCTCAAAAGGGAAGAGGGACTTGGAAATAAACTGAAGGTCAAGTTGCAAGTTGCAAGATGAAAGAGGAGGTAGAAATGAAGGAGGGCTTTGAGATCCTTGGACATTGAGACAGTGTGTTACTTTTGCAATGTTAGACTCGCAGTAGGCCTTGGATCAAGAACCATGATCAAATAAAAGTTAAAAGTAAAACTCTGATTAACAATGGTATCCAGACACAGTAATATTATGATTGGGAAAACTGTATTATTTTGTATTATAAGAATTATTTAAAACTGTCCAATGACCCACTGTCCCACACCCTGCTTGACTGAGAGAACAGCCAAGTAGGAAATAAACCGGAACAACAAATAATCCCTAGTTCCAAGCTGGAGATGAACCTTTAGGATATTCAGGAGAGGAGGCAAGGCACGGTGGATGGCTATTCTTGGGAGGAGGGAGCAGAAGGGGAAAGACTGTTAACTTGCAACAGGCCAACAGAAGACAAGAGTACTCTAGGAAATATCTGTTCTGACTTCCTCCAATAGGAATTTAGGGACCATTTGCCCTGGGCCCCTATTCTCAGTGAATTTTCACTTGCCCAACCAGGAATAGTGTCTTCTTCACTCTGAGCCTCAGAGTAGGCTTCATCCTGAGATTTCTGTCCATCCTTAATAACCTGGGTGCATTCATGCATGCATTTATTTGAAACTTCTTGCAAAGGCTCTCGTACTCAAGAGTGAGTGAAGCTCCAAAATAGAATGAACAAAAGAAACCCAAATAGAAGGTTAAACATTAAGGAGGCTTTAAAATCTCTCACCCTAGAAAAGAGGTGGTTAATACATGCCTCCTTTGACTCTACTTCATCAAATAGCATGTACAGTGAGGCATCTTACAATATAAATATTTTCTTTATCTGTGGGCCTTTTCATTTGCTCTTCCTGTAGATTGCATGCTTCTGGGAACACGGATTTGTCTGGCTGCTTGTAGAGCAAGTCCCAGAACAAATAACTGTTTAATTAGTCATCTCATTGAACAGGAGGTGTCATGGGGTAGGGCTGAGCCTCTTGGTCTTAGCTATCAGTGAAACTGTGTTTTGTTCCTGATAGTGCAACTGACTCACCAGGTAGCCTGGGGAAATTATGTCATCTTTCACTTGCCACCTATCTGCCCAAGAGAAGAATGCTGTGGAGATAAATCTGAATGAGGTCATACTGGAGAAGACAGAGATTTCTTTCCCAAGAAAAGGACTGTTTAGTTGCTGTGTCTTTTCATTTTGAGCCAAATGAGCACGATTAGGCCAGTGTGCCATAAGTCGTATGTCTGAGTCCTTGGAAGGCCAGAGAACAGTAAAGAAGTTTTGTCCAGAGCTATTTTTTCAGCAGCAACTGCCAATTTTAGCATCTATGGAATGGTTCAACCAACCTCCTTGACACGCTGAGTCTTTACTAGCCCTTAAAATTGATGGTTAATAATAGTCAAGAAAGGCAGAACAAATGGATTTTTATTTTTCATTTGATAGAACCACTCTGACTTCACTTATTTTTAAAATGTCTTAGTTGTTTTGTGACGGCACTGTACCCTGGAGAAGCCAATTGTAAGTCCTGAGTGAAACACGGTAGATTTCCCTGTTCCTCTCTTATAGTACTAAATAGTGTGAGAACGTTACATATATTATCTCTTATCCTCAGAGAATATGTGCAGTTCATTCAACCAAATTCTACTCTATCCTAGGTTCTGTGTCAGGTGGCATTTTAGGGGGAGAGCTAGGCATTAATGAAATAAGACACAGGTGGGAAATTGCTACCTGTGATACGTGCCATGTGAGAGAGATACGGTGTACAATGAGAACTTCAATAGGGAGCTTGGCCTGGTCTGGGAATCAGGATTCTTCCTTCTCTTACATCATCGGGAAATAATGTTGAGTATCTAAACGGCAACAGCGGGAGATTCTTTTAAAAGAATAATAAAATTATAATAACATCAAAGTATGATAACATCAGACTTGGGCAAATTCAGGTTCCCCAAACTATTAAGCTTTATGTTCATATGTATTTTTTTCTTTTTATTGCCTAGACAGTGTTTCAGGTGTTATATTCTTTTTCATTTTGATGTGCCCTTTTTGCCTTGAATTCCAGCAAATGGTGTTTTTACCCTAACACTCGGCTCTCTGTTAGCATTTGCCTGGCATGTCTCCATCTATCCTTTTTATCTGTTGAATCCCTTTGTTTCAAGGAATCTTATATAGCATCTAGTTGGGTTTTATTTTATGACCCAATTTGGGAGTCTTTAAAAAAATAGGTGAGTTTACCTCATGAACATTTATTGGCATAACAGAGGTAACTGATGTGGCAGCCATAGAAATGTCTCACTAAAATCTGCCTTCAAGAGAACCTTCTGTAGGAGCACAACTGAGGTGGCCGATGGCCTCCAGCTGCCCCACAGAGTTAACACTGAAGCCATGGCTCCCCCAGGCTGCTCCCAGCCAATGACTGAGCACCCTGGGGTTACTAGAGCAGGTCAGGCAGGCCATTCCTGCCCCACGTAAGGTTCTTTTAACTGGCAACTTTGGCTCAGGGACTCCCGTCAGTCTGGCTGAAATATTCTCAGAATTGTGTTGGGGTCTGAGGCTCTCCCTACCCAATCCTTCCTTTCCTCTCTCCTTTTTTCAGGTGCCAGACCTGCATCATGGTGTGAACACTCTCTCTGCCCACTCCTGCTCCCTCCTCCTTTATCCTTTACACACATGCCCCGCCCCCACCCCACCCCTCTTTTGCACGTCCAGTCCTATCTTGGTGTCTGCTTCTCAGAGGACCCAAACTGACACAATTGGATTCAATACTGTAATGCTGTATTTTCCAGCTTTCTGCCCTCTACGTTCTTTACCCTTTGCTATATGGCTTGTACTCTCCTCTCTTTTTTTGTTTTCTGTTTTTTATTTATGTATTCTTTCTCATATTAGGAAATTAATATAGCCTGCTTTAACTATTCTGGTGTTTTCTTTTGTAACTTAATGTAAAAGATTTAAAATTCTGTTTCATGGGATGTAAACATGTGGA